TGCTAGAAAGGTATTTTCTAATATTCTACATGTATTGTTCCTAGTATTCTACATGTATTATTTCCATCATAAATTAATGTATTTAGGGGAGCAAAAAAGAAATTACAAATGTACCTTCTCCAAATGGTTAGGGTAAAAAGTTAAACACCAAAAGTTAAAATTTATTAAGTAACTACTACCTTCTTAAAATGTTGGGAGCTAGCTAACTGGGACAAAACCTAATTACTGGAGTTCTTTGTAGTGACTTGGTAAAAGCAAGAGTACCTGGGTTTTAGTGAGTGGTTTACACTAAAGTAGTAGTAGTGAGACAATAAACAAAACCAGTGCATTCAACACATCATGAATGCCAACACTTAAAAACACCACCATCAACAAAACTATGTCTAATAGAGTCTAAATGAAAAAAATTATGTCTAAATGTTCTAAAAGTTAAGTTTTATGGCCTTAAACACGTTAGTTGATATTATAATTGTGATTTATTTATAAACAGCATGTTTTATTGAGCCATTATTTTATATAGCTTAGATGTATGTTTTAGCTGTTGTTTTGAATTCTATCAGGGATATTTCTGACTTTAAAAGCACAACAAATATACTTTGATTTTTTAAAGGAAGATGAAAATCAAAATGGTAACACAACATAAAAATTATGAAATTATATATATGGAAATACCCTGAAAGCTACATGTGAATCGCTGAGAAGTGGCCCCTCTTTTTCGATGTAATTTATGCTCGAGTCTCCAGCAATTAGGTGTACGTTTCCTTCCATGCCCTCTACTGAGCTCTGACAGGCTGTGCTCTCTCCAGGATTCAATGCTTTTGCAAGAGTGTCAAATGCCCTATAAGGAAACATCAGAAGCTGTGAGCTCGGCCAATCTCCAAAATAAAATGAAAGTTCTTTATGAAATTCTGAAATTAAGATTTAGGCCTTAAAAACTGTTTAGAAAATAGAACTTTGGTGTATCACTGAGCACTCTATTTCAGTGATGTCTACGACTCTCTCTCCCTAAAAGCAACAAATTAAACTTCATTTGTATCGTATGAAAAACTGTGTCATTATGTTAAAGTATTTTACCAGAGAATTAGTCTTTCAGAAAAACTTACATAATTAAGGAGAGAAAAATCCTTATACTTTGGAATGAAAATATGGTTTTACAAGTTATATATTTATTACTACAAGATATCAGCCCACTTACTTTACATACACAAGTTATTTAGAAAGAAAAAAAGCAAGAACTTATGTTGGACTTTACTGTATTCTACACAACACAAAGTTAGGTTTTAATTTTATTTCAAAATTCAGAGAATATTTTAAAACTTGTAGTAACATAGCTATATCTAAACTGTAAGACTGAGATTAGGATAGTAAATAATTAATATTAACAAATAACTAGTCAAAATAGTTCATTATTTTTCAATGAGATGCCCTTCTAGAGTGCCTTAAAATCTCATGTTCAACAGAGTACTAATTCAGATTCTTAAATGCAGTTTCCTCAATATTTCAGAAGATAAACAGTGTGGGAAAAAAAAGCATGAAGAAATCTGGTTTCTACATCTTAAGTATTAATATCAAGAGAATGAAAAATAGAATTCTGATATTAATTTCCTGATGTGTAAACTTAAAATTGCAATTGACTCAACTAAGTTTTTAAAATCTGTTTTCATCATTAGAAATTGGTGGGGAAAATGAAAATGACTGCCTAGTAAGACAAATGTGTAACTCTAAACATACAGAAGATAAAATCTGGCAACTAAAATATCTGAAAAATCTGACCCAAACTATCATCTTCATCAGAAAAAAAAATTCCTGATTTTTGTGACTATATTTCTAATCTTATCATATTCTCTTATTGCTTATTATATACAATGTAATCTGTTGGACAACACTTTATACTGAATGGACATTTTCAGTGAAAACTTTTTTATGCCTTAAATTTTCTAAGTACAATAGAAATATTTATTTTCTGAAACTTCTGTAAACAGTAGTCAACATAAAAATATTTTAAGAAATATCAAAGGACAATTGAGCAAAAGGACACTTATGATGTCAGACCTTACCTTGAAACATCACCATTAGTCTGCATTTCTTGATGAAATTCACACAAAGAGGAATCACCATTGCTTAAGCTTTCAATCATAGACATTTCATTACTATTTTGAGAAAGATCTTTAGTTTTTCCAAGGTTTGCTAATGATGTAACCACACTGGCCAATGTGCTTAAATCTCCCTGACATGATTCAGCCTTAAAAAAAAAAAAAAGGATTAAAATTCTGCAAATTGCTATCAGTAAACTTTTAAATTTGAAATAACCAACTCTGAAATAACCAACTCTAGATTATGAAATGTCAAAAGAAAAGTACTCTAATTAAGATAAATCTTAAAAGTAAAATCAAAGAGCTCTGAGCTTTTAGAACCTCAAGGAAAATTTAAGTTTAAAAACATGAGGTACATTTCCTAGAAAATGTTTATACAAAAATTACTTTAAACTAAAAACTGCACTTAATGGCTAATCTATCCACATAACAGTTGCTTTCTCTGTTAAAGGATATTAAATTAGATGATCTTTCAAGTTCTTTTTAGCTTTATTATACAAACTATTTATATAAACTGTAAAGTTATATAGGATGTAATAAAATTAATATTTTATTAATGAAAAGGTATATTATTGAACAGACTTCTAGATGCCAACTTTAACCAGACACTGTGTTAAATGCATTAAACATCAGGCACTGTGTAGCTGGAAAATTTCTTTACATATCTAAGATACTGGGCTTTTGTTATACATTGCATAGTTTCCCATTTGCTTTCAGCTTTTATTTTTGCTAATGATGTGTATATTCTTTATGTATGAATTAGTTATAGTTCTTTTATGAAAAAGAACTTTCTCTCCTTAACTCTCTGACAACTCAGAAATATAATTTCTACAAGGAAAGGCAGGTAAGTGCTTGAGTATTCTCCCTCTTATTTATCAATTTTTAGAGCAACCAGTCAATGCCCCAGCATTCAGACAAATTCTGAATATCCTTTTAAATTCATAGACTTTTACATATTTACATATTTAATGTTTCAATCCATTAGTCATTCTTTTTTAAAAGTTCAGATTATGCCATCCTAACCTAATGAAAGGCTCTTCAGCTGCCTCCTATGGTCTAACGACAGGATCCCTAAATGACATTTTAATTTTTCATTATTCATTTATGGTTTTTGTTTTTAGTGTTCTTAATCCTAAGAGGATACATATGTTTTCTTGAGTTTCAATTCTTACATCAATTATTTAGTTTATGTGAAACTGACTTTGGTGAATAAGCAAATAATTTTTGTGCTCTCTCCAAATTAATGAATCGTCCCAGAATCATTTACTGAGTAATTCACCAGTTACTGAGTTCTTACATGATTACTACTTATATATGAATTTTACTTAATCGATTCTCACAACAACCCTGTGAAATAGGAATCATCATCTCTTTATTACTGACAAGAAAAATTACCCATTGTCACTCTAGCAGTAAATAATGCAGGCAGGATGGGAAATCAGGTTGGTCTGATGGGAAAGCCTGTGCTGTTAACCACTGTTTCAGCCTTCTTACATATGAGTAAAAGGAGTTAACATTTTCAGGTGTCAATTTTCAACTAAAACTTAAACACTTATATACTCTTTTCTATTTCATACCATGTCTATCTAACTAGATGTTTAATGTGGAAAGACCTCATCTTGTGACCTGACAGTTTTGAGACCACTTGTCAGAAACAAACCACACAAGATTGTTAATACAATTTAATATAAAGACATATAGAAAAGTACAGTGTCTGGGTAAACAGTAATTTCTCAACAAAGCTTAGTTCTCTTCCTTTCCTAAAAGAGTTAATATATCAATGAAATTGCAACTACCATTCTAAGCATGGATCATGTAGCTAAGGCTAAGCAAAATCTTTTATGTAATTTCAAAATATATGGTAAGATAATACCAAATCTCCTCGATTAACAACAGGCTACAGCCCAACCTATAAGGTAGACACTCTTATCCCTATTTTACAGATGCGGAAGGAAACCGTATCTGACCAGAGAGGTCAAATAACTTGCTCACAGTTATGCAGCTAGTAAGTGGCAGATGAAATCTGATTCTAGAGCACAAAAGTGCGTTAAAGTATCAGACAACAAATATATAACAAATCTGGCCATATGTGGAATGAATCATCTTATAAGGTATATAAAATCAGGTCACATAGGCTGAGAGAAACACCAGTCATAGGCTCCGTGAAATTTCTTTCGAGGTATGAGTTTTCAGGAGAAATGTTTGTTTTTGATTCTCAAAAGGGGTTTCTGAACACTACAGAAACTCTATATGCTCGATCTAAGCATATTTTACTTCAGATCTCTTGCTCAAAGAGCTGCTCCAACCTCTAAGAGAAGCCAAATGACTTAGATACATAATTTGAGAGCTCTTGTAATCCTATTCTTACTCAAGTTAATGTTTTGAGAGGTGTGCTAGGAATTTCACTTGAAATATTTTAAGTATTTTAGCACTATAAAATCTGTAGGAAAACATAAAAGTAATATAAGGAATTTTACACTTATTGTAAATTTCTATTTCTGAGGACTTTTACTTCAAGATGAAAGAAACCTGAGAGACTTTCAAATGTCACTTTCACGTTGAAACTATAATTGTTCTAGTGGAATAATGAACACTTCTGATAAAGTTATTTTGTACATCGGGACTCGCAAAATGGAGGGTGTTCCAGTGACCTGGTCCACTTCACAAATCTAAACCTACGTCAGTGTGCACTTGAAGGAAACATCTGTCAGGAAATCTAACACCAATCACAATCCTCCAGTTCAGCTTTAACGAGCTCATTACCCTAGAAAACAGTACCCAATAGCCTTACAGGAAAACCCTAGATCTCCTCGCCATTTAAGCCCTATTTCCTACTGCTGCTTCTAATGCTCTACAAAACTCATTCTTGCTGAAATTCCTCGGGAAGAATGTTTGTTCCACTGCTTGTGAGCACTGTATTCTGCTAATCCATGGATTGTTTTCCCTTGAATAAGGGATATCAAACTCATTACTAAATTCTTTCAGTTTTGTCATGTGACACTACCAAATAGTTGATAATTTGTGTTAAAAAAAAAAAGCAACTTGTAACAGGGAATATTTAAATCAATTAGCCAAAATGATGGGCGAGAAATGGAAAAAATTTTAGAAGCTTAAAAAATTTTAAGCTTTAAATTAATTGTACTAAACACACCTTATCTGGTGTCATCAGCACAGCTGACTCAGTTTTTATTCCAGACTGATGAATATTCACAAACATTCCTGAATCTAACAGTCCTGCTGACCTGCAACAAATAAATACAAATTTAGCCTTAGTTTCACAGGGAAGAAAAATAAATGACCAGTGACTTAAAATATGTGTATTTTTATTGTTTTTACTATACCTTGCAGTTTCACTGTCTGTTACAAAAGTTGGAGTTGCAGCTAATGGACTTCGAAGGTCTTTTCGAATGTAGATTTTTTCTGTTGAAGCAGCACAGTTGGAAGATTTTTCTCTTGATACTTCTATGGGTTTTCTTTCACACTGAACAGCTACAAAAATGCATATAAACTTATGTCACAATGCAGAATTTATAGCAATTATAAATGTAAGCTTTCGGTCAGCAATGCTGTTAATGGAAGACATGGTTACCAATAACTGAACTCTAAAGATAACTATCAATCTTTAGAAATTATTTGCAAATTCAACAAAGTTCCTTCAGAATAGTAAACCTAGCCAATTTGCATCTCTTGTTCTCTTTTCCCTCCCTGCCCCAGCTGTGACAGAAAATAGTAGAACTATTTTTCAAAAGTTCACTGTCAAGAAGGAAAAACTGAAGTTAGGAGTCCCTTATCTATCTAAGAATATTTTAAAAATGAAATAATATTAAACCAATTGAAAACAATAGAGAACCACAAAAGACCCAACTTAGATCTTTTTTCAGTTAAGGGCAGGGAGATTTTTGAGAAGTAATTCACTTGCTTAGTCTTCATTTATAAATATAGGTTAATACATCTAACTTACAGCAATTTTATTTCATGATACTTAGGAGATAGTACACTGTAGTTGTTAAATGTATATTTTCTGAGACAAAACAAAACTGTCAAGATTCAAATCCAAGTTCTGCCACTTATTAGTTGTGTGAACTTGGGCAAGTTACTAAATCTCTGTTCACTCAAATGTAAATGGGTAACAGTAGTACCTACTGAGAATTATGCTGTGAGAATAAGCTAATTCATATGCTATATGCAGAGTAAAGCAAAATGAGAGCTCAATCAGAATTAGCTATTGTCATTACCTTATCAATCATTTAGTAGTTTAATCAAAAACTAAACTGGTATCTAGTTAGTTGTGCTTTTTTTTTTTTTTTAACCATGTTCAAACCAAAAATACATGCCTGGCATATGGGCATTTAATAAAGATTTGTTGAATGAATAAAAAATATATACATATGCACACATATTTCTATATTTTTAGTGGAAAACTTTAAATTAAAAAGCATATATATTTGACATATTTTAAAATGTTAACTGTGTTAATTTTAACACAGTTCTAAGAGTTTGCCTGAATCCTTAAAAGTATTTTCTCCTTTAAAGCTAATACATACAGTCTTGTTTCATTCCAAACGCAATACATCTTTGTAACCTGCAGTATTGACAGCGATTTCGATGGTGTTTGTTAATAATACAGTCCTTTGATCCTCGACATGAATAAACTAAATTTTTTCGGATACTTCTTTTAAAAAATCCTTTGCAGCCTTCACAAGTTACTGCTCCATAATGACGCCCTAGAGGCAAAACATTTAAGAAAAACAAAAGTCACATATTTTAGAACTGAAATGAAATAAACCTGTATCTTCCCTTTAAATAACAATGTGAGACAAAACTGAGATTTCTGAGTTTATGACATAAAAAATTCTTTTTGGAGTTACCAGAGAATGAAACAACCTTATTCTCTGATAAAATATATTAAATGAGTTAAATTTTGTTAAGCAATCTTAACAATGGCATGGAAGATTTGGGAAAGAGAACAGAAAACACCCATAGTCCCATGATTTAACATACAAACCATTTTCACTTTTGAAATCACTTACAAACTACAGTTCTACTATACACTGTATAAAGTTATTTTATTCTGAAAACTACGCTTCCATAAAAAGGATATAATGTCAGTTAGTATTTGAACTCTAATAATTCCTCCTTGTTGTGGGTTTCAGTTTTTAAAACTTCTGGAGAAATCTATTACACTTTGATAAACCTATCATTTTACAAACCATTTCTTTGACACATCTATTAACAAAATGAACACAGTCTGGGAAAATCTCTAGTTGAGGTCTTTGTAATAAAGCTATGTAAAAAATAAAAAGTATTAAATAAACTGGGTCCTTAAAACTATCCCACTGGCACTTGTGAATATATATGAGCAAATATGGGTGTGTATTTCTGGCATGAAGGAACAACGGCCAGAACTAAAATGGCATAACCCTGAGTACTAGAAACAGGCTTGAAGAAATGCCTGCTCAGCTATGCAGAGCATTACATAAGGTTAACTAGAGCTTCTCCAACTCAATTCATTACTCTGTATTCCTGGAATGAGAAAAGGGCTCAAAAGGTAGTTTAACAACCTAATATTAAATATTACCAAGGATTACAGCTAGTTTTTAAGCAATTCCTTTGACAAAACTGGTTTCACATTCAGAAAAATTTCTACGTTTGGTTTACTTTCAAAAAGTGAACTTTCATAATTCTTTGAAATATGCATTTCATGTCACTGCAGGATCAAATTAAACACAAGTGAAAAAAAACCTTACGTGAATAAAAAGCTATGAGAAAAAAATCAGTTAAATTTCGTAGGCTACAAATATGAACCATAAAAATGACATGTTCCTTTATTTTCCTTTTTACTTTCAGTAGAAGAAACATGGTAGTGTGGTAGTTATTTTAACAACACAACACGTATAGGATGTTATTTTTAATAATACCTGATGCTTTGTCTCCACATACAACGCAAAGATCAAAAACTTTATTTGGTCCTTGTTCTGAGGAAGAATCTGTTAAGAGCTAAAGAAATCCCCCCCAAAACAAAAAAAACAAAATAATTTGTTGTTACTCATTAATACTTTAATGTAAAAATTAAAAGAACAGTCTTATTTTTTGCTTTCTTTCTTGTAAATTATTCTGAAACTTTGAACCCTATGCATATATCAATTAAACTATTCTTAATTTACTTATAGATAAAAAATTCAATGTTCTAAGAAGCAAAGACAGAAAGAATACCTTTTAAATTTTTCTGTAACAGTTTAGTTAGTGAAGAGTCTTAAACACACAAACATGAGTATTTTTTTTACTGCACCTAGCTCATTAAGTACTTATTATTCATATGGAACACATCAAATTACTGTACTAGTTATCAGTCCTATAATGACATTTGTCCTTGCATAACTCACAACATTTCTAAATGGAATGACATTAAAATAAGCTATAACAGAAGCTAACTCTAAATTTTTTAAACAGAAAAGGAGTTATAAAGAAAAAAACCTGGGGGGAGGGTATAGCTCAGTGGTAGAGTACATGTTTAGCATGCACAAGGTTCTGGGTTTAATCCCCAGTACATTCATTAAAATAAATAAATAAATACCTAACTTACCCCTCCTATTCCTCCCCAAAAAAAGATATATTAAAAAAAAAAGAATTAAAAAGAAAGAAATCACAAAGAAAAAAATCTGTTGAAGCATTTACTTACAATTATGGAAATATGACTGGTATACAAAGGTAAAACTTTTTATTGAGTTATCTAAGATTTGGGTTAGATATGATTGAGAGCATGGACTCAAGTCTGTTAATGATAGCAAGTTAGTGGGGACTAGGTAGGGTGGCCTTGGGCAAATTACTAGATCTCTTTAAATTATATTAAGAATTCATCACTAGGTTACAGTTAAAATAATACTGGCAAAGAAATACTAGTTTCTTCTTTTAGGTTTATCCTTCAAACTTTTTGTCATTTTCTTTCAATCTTTTGAAATGTGAACAAATTAAATTCAATCCAAAAAATGCAATATAGCATTTAGCAAACACGTTTCCCTGCTTTAAAAAAAACCCACAAAGTAGTTCTCTACTTTGACTTATTCTTCTCTTAGAGATATGAATGCCTTTAGGACTAATTCTGATTTTAAAAACTTTAAACAGTTGTCAAAATAGCTGTCCCTTACTATGTTATAGTGGAATCATTTCTTCTTATATCACCATAAAAATCAATCTTCAATGAAAACTTAAAAAAAAAACAATTTCTGTTATTAGATGTCTTTCGAAAACATCTATGATAAGTATCGCTCTTTTCTTTAATAGCATATCTATTGCAAATGGTGCTAATCTTTTACTGCTATTATTCCTAAGGGCTGAAGAGACACTGAGTGGTTAATGGACTTGTCCACAACCCATTTTAGGTCACTAGACCAGAAATCATATCTTCTTGGCCAAGGGGAATTCCACCCTATACCTGTTTCTCTTTTATTGCTCTTAGAGACAATCCATAAAGTAGGCAAAGTACCAATACTATCTTTATTTTTTAAATAGAGAAATTTTTTTAAAAAAAGAGTAACTTCACAGTGGAGAAATCTGACACACATTACATCAGCCAGGTGAAGTCACCAGTTGTAAAACATGATGACAGTAAGTACCCTTGATACGATAAAAATAGCACTTAACCTCTGTGATCCTCCTTCCTAAACCCCATTACCGCAGTCAAACCATGAAAAAAACATCAGCCAAAGTCTCACAGTACAGCAACTTTTAATACACCTGACCAGTACACCTCAAAACTGTCAGAATCATCAAATACAAGGAATGTCTGAGAAACTATCACAGCTAAGAGGAGTCCAAGGAGACGTGAAAACTACATGTAACATGGTATCCTGGAGCAAAAAAGGGTATTAGGTAAAAATTAGGAAAAGCTATGGATTTTAGCTAATAAATACAACTAGTTCATTAATTATAAGAAATGTATCATACTAATTAATGTAAAATGTTAATATGAGAAATTGTGTGCTGGGAAGGGAACTCTATACTAAATGCTCAATATTTCTGTATATATAAAACTGTTCTAAAATATCAAGTCTGTTAATAAAAAATTTTTAATTATGGATAATGTTATACTTTTTTGGGGTGATTTCTGTCTTGTTGATAAAATAACTTTATGTATCCTGTCAATTTTCTACCTTAACTGTTTCTAATAATTCAAATTATGTAATTGGAAGAATAACAGAATCTATCAGGATTATAGGCAAAATTTTGCATCTTACAAATTTGGAGTTGTTTAATCCCAAAAGGAATTTTCTTTAATCCGTTTTTCATCACAAAATATGAATCCAATTTTAAGTGGATACTCCCTGCCAAGGTCTCTGGAGGCAAATTTAAAGGTTCATTGTATTTGTATTCAATCATAGCAAACAATGGTAAAAGTAGTTACATAACCATAGGAGTGCAGTGCATAAAAGCCTTAAACTCTGAAAAATAATGTATAACTAGCAAAAATTTAAATGATGTAAAGTTAATCTACACGACTGAGTTCCAATGTTAAAGCAGACCTTTACTGATGTTTGCTACATCAATGAAGATGAAGATGTAGATGACAAAAGAGGAATCAAAAGTGACAAAGCTGGCAGCTATTAACAATTTCTTGATTTGACAGCTGTTTGTTTGAGGCACAGGAAGCTTGGTCTTGAAAACTGCAGCTACAGAATTCTGTATAGATAGATTTAGAAGTTTCCTAACTGTGCAGAAGCATCAGGTCACATAGAAGCAACTTCTGAGGCATGCTCCAGTAGTTATTCTTGGAAAGCTGACCTACAACTATTTCTTCAGCCTTCCTAACAGTTCTATGAGCTCTCTATATTTTTTATTAAATCTTTCTTGGTCAAAAAAGCCAGAGTGGATCTTACTGTATGCAACTAAACTCCACCCCCAAAACACATGGGTGTGAGGAACAGTATTGTGGCCCATACAAGAGGGCAGCACATAATTTTATGCCAAGATTTTTTCCCTACTGAACATGTATGACATAAAGTCTTAGTGTCAGGACTTAAATTTATGACAAACTTTTAATTTTTTTCAAGTGTAAGATAAAAATAAACTCTAGTTATTTACCTGGAGGTGTTGTGCAGACAAATCAGGAGTTGTGAAAAATAACTGGTTGACACCTGCTGCATCTGGGGTTGTGAGGAAAACTTTTCCTGGAGTAGAATCTTGTCTAGCCAGAATGACTTTGCTTGGAGTAGAGCCATCGTGATTTGTCAGAATGAACTGCTTGCCTTGGGTATTATGATCAAGTGCTGTCACAATCTGGATTTTCTGGCCAGTTTGCTGCTCAGTAACAATCTAACACAATCGTGTCATTAGTAATCAATTCAATACTTTTTCTTCCTTAAGGACCCAATTTTCTCATTCTTTCAGACAAAGCCAGAGTCGAAAAGCATACCTTTATATACATATGTTCAATATAATACATGCACACGCACGCACACGTGTACACACACACTCACACACATCTTTTAATCTAGCATGCTATTCTATTTCCATGACATATTATCCTACAGAAATAAATGAATGTACAAATAAAAATATAATAGTAAGAACATTTGGACCTCATTATTTTGGTTCATTCTTTTCTTCCCCTTCCCTTCCATCTTCCATTTAGACAAACATATACTGAGTGTATTCTATTTGCCGAACAGTTTGTTCTGGGTCCCCGGATACAGCAATAAACAAAACAAAATCTTTGTTCTCATAAAGCTTTTAGTGAGGAAAGGCAGATAAAACCCAAATAAGCAATAATATTGCCACATAGTATGAAGTACTACGAAGTAAAATAAAGCAGGAGAAGGTGAGAGTCATTGACGAAATGAGGATGATGAGAAGATGACATTTTTACAAAGACCCTGAGTGAAGTAGCAGACCAAGGCTTAGGATTGGCTAGGGGAAATGCACCCCAGGTAGAGGAAGCCTGTGGTGCAGAAGTATGTTCAACACATCTGAGGCAAGAGGTACAGCAAGAGTTTTGTGAGTGAAAGAGAATGGAAGAGAGGGATCTGTAGTAGGAGGTGGGAGCTGAGAGTCAGCAGGGACCAGACTGAATAGGACTTTGTAGGCCATACAAAGTCTGAGTTCCTACTGTGTGACATGGAGATCCACTGGAGTGTTTACAGAGCAGAGGACAGGATCTTTTGCAAAAAGGATCATTCTAGATTTAGTGTCAAGACCAGACTATGAATGTTCAAGAATAGAATTAAGGAAGACCAGAAAGGATGCTATTGCACAGATAACTGGCAGCATTTGGGAACTGTGTATAGGCAGACATATTGGCTGAGATCAGGGTAGTTGCCATGCTAGGGGTGAAAAATTATTTGATTTGGATTATTTTATGAAGGGAGAGGTGACAAGATGTGATGATGAATTCGATATAGAATATGAGGAAAGAAGGGTTGAGGAGGAGTATGAAATTTTGGCCTGAGCAGTTGGGAGGACAGAATTGCCATCTACTGAGATGAAGTAGTCTTGGGAAAAGCAAGTTCATGAATAGGGAGAACTAGCCTAGTATTGAGGGTTTTTGCTGTTGCTGAGCAAACGTTTTACAGAATAAACTCATTAAGCTAGTTAAATTCTTTGATTCAATTTTAAAATGGCAAAGTTGTTTCCTTTCCAACATTTTTCCATTTCTCTGAATTATTTTCATCAAGATTATTTTCTATGCAAAATTTACAGCAAAGTTCTGAATCATTACTTTTTGTCTAGAGCAGACTGTATTGATTATGGCGGCTGCTAATTTGTTTTTCCTTCTTTGACCATTATTTCTACCATGTCCTATTCTTCTGGGTGCAGTTTTAACTGTTGTCAATTTTATTTTGCATAGATTGTATCTACCAAGTCTAGTCTCCAACCTAACAATTTCTGCAGTTTTCAATGACACCTGTAAGATGTGACTTTGAATCAGTTCATCTGTAATTTTACCATGTAAGGTTTAAACTAATGTAATTTTATTTCAGAATATTTTTATCAGTAATATTCACTATGAACTGAATAAAAATCTAATGGTTCACACTTATTTCTTAGAGACAAGAGTATTAGGTGCATGCAGGATCCAACTGTCATCAGGTTGAAGCACTTTGCTTAGATGGGTAAAAGGATGTTTAATGTGGCATAATTATCGTTGAAAACTGAAGCAGTATAAGTGGTCATCAATAAAGAACAGTAAATAGATTATGAAACAGTTCTCAGGTCTCAGGATCCCTCTACACACACACACACACACAAAAATCACTGAGAGCCCAAAGGACTTTAGTTTATGTAGGTTATACCTATTGATATTTATCATATTAGAAATTCAAATAGAAAATTTTTAAAAAATTAATTCATTTAAAAAATAACCCATTTAATGTTAACATAAGTAACATAATATTTATTTAAGGAAAAATAAGTATATTTTCCAAACGAATGAAAGTTTAGTGGGGACAGTGGTACTGATTTACATTTTTGCAAACTGCTTTAATGTCTGGCTTAAGAGAAGCTGGATCCTCATACCTGCCTGAGCATTCAGTCTGGTGTAGTATGTTGTTTTGGTTAAAATATATAAAGAAAATCCAGCCTTATATTTATTGAGTAAAAGGGAAAGCATATCTTAACAGCTTCTTCAAACTGTGTAAACTGTTTTTTGATGTGACACCAAAACTTGACAAGCTTCTTAAAGGTTAGCTGCAATGTGGAATCAGAAACTGTATTAAAAGCCGTTGGTCTATTCTGCATTTGAATCTTTTACTCAACAGTGATTTTGTAACATCATGAGTTGGTCATTTGGGAAACACTGGTTCAATGAGTTATGTACACCTTTTCAATGCTGACATGTTTCATCATATATCACAAGTCATGTAGCCTATGGAAGAATTATACAATACACTTGTGAGAGAATGATAGTGAAAAGGCAAATAACATTCTAGTATTACTATAAGAATGGTTTTGACCTTGCTGACTCTCTGAAAGAGTCCCTAGATGATACTTGGAAAACCTCTGCATTATACTACCTCTTACTAGAACGTAACTGTTTAAAAAATGAAGATCTGTCTATTGATATGGATCTCCTCCCACTGGTCCATTAGGACTAGCCTTAGATTTCACACCCTCCAAGAATATTCCCTGACCATATCCCCACACCCCACCACAACTCTTCATTAAATTTTCTTCTGGGCTCCCATAACACTCTACACAATGATCTATCATAGCATATACCGTATCTATCATGATTGTCTGATTATTCAAGTATCTCTCACTAGGTTAAAGCTAACTTAAAGTCAAGGGTATATTTTATCTCTTATAACTCCAAAACCTAGCATATACTATATTTGATGTAAATAAGTTTGGTGAATCAGTGAATGAAGAATAAACTAGACATACCTCTCCCATCTGCTGTTCAATAATTTGATGTGCAATTTCTTCTATCGTTGCCATGATTTAATTGCCAAAATGTCCTGCCAAAAATAAAAAGATGCTTTTTCACAATTGCACCCATAAAACATAATTATTGAAGAACTTACAAATGAAAGTATGACTGTTTGGATTTACTTCAAAATAATGCAGTTGTGGCTGCTGGGGTGTGGGTGTGGGTGAAGGCAAATGTGGGGAGAGTATCTTAGCTGAGCCCTTGGATTTGGCTCCTTCACCTCCTTCACATGGAAGAAACTTACATTGATTCCCTGGACTCTGAAAAGCTATTACAATGCCCCTATGATAAAAATCACCAGATCAGGCCTGCAGGTTTCCTCATCATCTTATCAAGTGCAGAAATAATCATCCTGACAGTGCAAACTGGCTAGTTGCCCCTTCAATGCTTGCCATCAGGTTCCTTGGGCAGAAATCAGTCACAGTATCTCAAGTTGTGATGACAAAAGCTGTTTGAGCAGGATGTAGTCAACTAAACCAGGAACCTTGGACAAGAGACTCTGGCTGAGACCACATGGCAGTGCCGTTCTTTCAATGAAGACAGAGATAAAAATTTATGGAAACAGACACGCATCCCATTTGTCTGGGACACAGACAACTACAGCCCCGAGAGCAACACAGTTATGGAAATTAAGAGTAACCTGGCTTTACTTCTGGGCATTCCCAAGTCTGCCATATGTTCTGTCATGGAAATGCACAGTAACTGAATACCTATCTCATCAAATGCCAAACCCTAGAAGACTTCTGCTTCTTCCTGCTACAGTGGGTTCTTCATTTTTTTTTCCTCCTAGGCTAATTAAAGAAATTTTTCTTAAAAATTCAGTTGTGGAGGTGGGGATGAGAAGGAATAAACAAGACTGGCCATGGCTGACAATTACTGAAGACTGGTAAAATTTATACTAGAGCTCATGAAACTATTCTCTCTGCTTTTACAAATTTTGAAAGTGTCCATTTAAAAAAATATTCAATGCCAAACAATTTCACTTTTCAAAGATACTGAAGCCTAAACAGAACTCTGATAGATTAGGAGTAGTTTATTAATTAAATAAGGGCAACTCTGTAAACACATCACTGTAGCCATTTAACACACTTTTAAATCAACCTACTGTAAAAACTGACAAAATAATTGCATTCATTCAGAAGAACAGAAGATTTCTCTAGAATTTTGTGATTGTTCGTCATCAGTGGCAATTTCTTACATGTTAGGGTTAATTTGAATTTAATGTAAAAGTGTCTTCAAATGGATCTGAGAGCTAGTAAGATTAACGGGTTGACTCTGACTTTTGCTTTTTCTATCAGGTAGTCAAGAATACAAAAATTATTTCTGACTTTACCATATTATATACTATCTGTCATAAACCTACTAATATTCTGTAATTAATATTAATTGTCAAATTATCTGAATTGTTTTTCTTTCAAATAATTTATAAATCTTAAATGGTTCAATTACTTGTACTAAAAGCAATATATAATATTTAGCTTAATTATTCAGTTGTTCTAAGTAGATTGCAAAGTACTGGCCTCAACCTCTCTGGAACCAATTAAGGAGACAGCTGCTCCCCAGGTCTGCATGCTCTGGAATCATGGTGGCAGTGAGGCCCAGCCAAACTCTGACCCAACTTTGGTGGTCATTTTTCCCTTTTCTTGAAGGATAATATGTTCAAAACTGAACAGCTCTACTGGCCCATCCAGCAGAATCCCAGAAGTCCAACAGCCTTCATTCATTTCACCCCATCTGTGTCCCCTTCAGTCCAAGCTCGTAGCATTTCTGCCAGCATAAAATTCACAAAAATCATGTTGCCTCCCATGCAATTCACGGGGGTCCAAGCCATTAGACAAGACAGTACTCTACAAATCTCTCCTGGATAATCCCATCTCTCTTCCTGGCCTCTGTTGAGATGGCTGATTGGATTAATAAATCACATGCCCATAATCTCTTTAGCAAATGGTTGTCCAGGCACACCTTGGGGAGTCTCTCCAGAACAGCTTTCTTTTTTTGCAATATGGATAATAGACTGAGTATTTTCAAAATCTTCATGTTCTGGTTCCATTTTTCTTAACAATTCTTTCTTTCTTTCTTTTTTTTCCCAGAAGGGAGGATTTATTATTTGCAGCAAATACGGAAAACAGTGGGGATCTTTCCAAAGCAATGCCTCCTTAATAATTCCCTTTTCAATTTAATCTCTCTCCTCTTACATTTTTAAGTAGCAAGGAGAAACTATGTCTTCAACATTTTACTTCGAAACTAGGCTATGTCTGAAACACTTTACTTAGAAATAATTTACTCAGATAAATATCCCGGTTCATCACTTACTAGTTCTAACTTTCCACAAAACACTAGAATACAGTGGGGCCAAATCTTTGCTAGTTTGTAACAAAGTTTGCCTTTTGTGTAGTTTCCAATAACATGTTCCTCATTTCCATCTGAGATCTCATCAGAAGTACCTTTAATGTTCATATTTCTAACAACATTCTGTTCATGATGACATAAGTGTATCTTTAAGATGACAGCAGCTTTTTCTAAGCTCTCTTCTTTTACTCTGAATCCTCACCAGAATCACCTCTGACATCCACATTTTTATCACCAATCTCTTCAAGGCAATGTGTTTTCCTATAAGCATCTCAAAACTCTTCCAGCCTTCACCCATTTTCCAGTGCCAAATTTTTTAGGTATTTGTTACAGCATACCCCACTTCCCAGGACCAATGACTGGTTTGTTAAGGCTGACATTAAAAGTAGCAAATGGTAGGTAGTTTAAACAACAAAAAATGCATTTTCGCACAATTCTGGAGGCTGGAAGTGTGAAACAAGCCGTCAGCTAGGTTGATATCTTCAGAGACCTATCTCCTCGGCTTGGAGGTGGCCATCTTTTCTCTATATCTTCACATCTTCTTTTTGTGTCTGTGTTGTAATTTCCTCTTCTTATAGCACAAAAGTCAAATTAGGTTGGGCCGGTACCTCTCAATTACCTCTTTAAGGCCTCATCTGCAAATAGTCACACTGTGAGGTACCAGGGGTCAGGATTTCAACATATAAATTTTGGGTGAAGACAATTCAGCCCATAACACTTAGGCATATATCTAATAAGAAATGTAAAAGATTTATGTAAAGAAAGCTTTCAAATGCCATCTAGAGAGAGGAAAAACTACCTGGAGAACACATAAGAAATTGGTTACAGTGACTACCTTCAGGGAGAAGAACTGGAAGTTTGGGAACAGGGATGAGACAGAGATTTATTTTTCACTGAATAAGTTTTTTTTTTAATTTAAATAACACATTACTGTAAAAAATTACCTAGAAATAACAAAAAATAGTTTAAAGAAAAGTAATCTTTTCCAGAAACCCCAAAATCATCAAGTGTTATGAACACAAGACTCCAAAAAGCTATTTCATAATGAAAATTTAACCTATTTCTATATATTATTATGGTTTGATTACTTAAAAGCATATAAATAGGAAGGGTCAAATTCAAATCTTGCTACTACTTTACAACCTAACAATTACACTAAGATCAACTATTATTTTTGCCACAGAAGCCAAAAAGTATGAGGGCATGTTTAATTGCATACTTTGACATTAGCAATGCTGCAGGTAACAAAAGGCTAATTTATTTGAATGTTAACATTCACGGAATACTATTCTGTTTCAACTACTGCATGAATATTCTATTCCATGAGTACTGAATTCAGAGAAATTCAGATCTTCCCCCCCCACCCCATTTAGGAAGAGAAGAGAGAGAAACTACAATGGATTCTTAACCTTTTTTGGAGTTACAGACTCCCTCAAGAATCTGACTAAAGCTACACACCCTCTTTAGAAAAATATGCACATGTATTTGGTGAATTCTACTTTATGATCCAACACATCAAATTTCTATTTCTCCATACAAACTCTATCACTACTGCAGTATTCCAGAGCCCTTGTCTCATATGTTTTACAGGTCCATGTAATCCAGACTGGTTAATATTCACGGCAAGTTTTTAGATTACTCACTTCATTTATCATATATCTCAATTTGTACTGAGCAAAACAGAAACAAGAAGAATCTGGGAAACAAATTTAACTAGAAGGAAGACTAAGAACAACCTTTTCCCTTTGGACCCCTCTCGAATCAAATGTATCTTCCATTGCAACCTCAAACTATCATATTCCACTTGTAAAGCATGTTAGAGTCTGTCAAGCCACCTTATTAACTTACCTTAAGATTCGAGCCTAGGAAGGCAATGATCCAGTGTTACAAAGTCAAATCTATATATAATCCTATTTTCATCACTACTCATTTTTCTCATTAAACTACCCAGGAAAATAATATTAACGTGTAAATAGATCCATGAAATAATTCAAATATATCATGTAATCTTGTTCACTTCAAAAAATTTTACCATTTACAAAAAATAAGGGCAGACTAAATTAATTTCAAATCCTATCCAAGTTTATTAAGCTTTACTAAAATTCAGAAATTTTCAGAGGACAGTATTATTCACTTTGATAGACAAAAATATTAGCAAGGGGGAAATGACAGAAATTGGTGAGAATGAAATAGATATTTGGAATGAAAGCAGGTATTTATGAGAATGCATTAGTCACTCCAGTTGTGATAAAAACTCAACTACTGCTAGTTTAAACACCCCATCCTAAAAGTAGAAAAAAAAAAAGTTGGGGGCTAAGGGGACATAACACACACCGCTAAGACCTTGGGAAAAACTGGAGCTAGGGTTCCTGATGCTGTCAGACATCACCTTATCTCTATCCTGAAGCGTCTCCCTATTTGGCTTGTTATTTTCACCTTTGTAGTAAAGCACCAGGAAAGGAAAAGTAGTCTTCTCTTAATTCCAATTTAAAAATCTTGGTAATGGATTCTGATTGGCCCAGTGTAGGTTATGCAATCATTTCTTGGATTAATCACTGCAGGTGGGTCAGGGAAGAGCAAAAGGAATGCTAACATGAAGGCAGTGTCTGTTTTTGGAAGGCCTATTTACCAAAAGATAGGGACTAGCATAGACATGGCTACTGATGTAATCGTGGGCCAGGCAATCACTTCAATTTGTAAATTGATGCACTACTGATCAATACTGATTACACAAAACTCTTCGATCAGAAGTCCACTCAACACTACTAAGCCAATCAAAACTTTAATTCAGCATTAACTCCAATTTTCTTGTTACCAGTTGGAGAAACCCCTAAAAGAAGTGGGAAAAGCCCTCATTCTGATAAAGTACTATGCCAGGAGGTCTACTTTTTTAGTACTTCCAGATCAAGGTCCTTCTAATTTCTTGCTTTGGGAGTTCTTCAGTAAAGGACAAATTTAGCTTCACAGCTATGTTGTTTTAAATAACTTCCAAAGTTTCTTGAGAATTCACAAAATAAAATGAATTTTGATGAATTTTTTTCAGACACATCAAATGTACCAAAAACTTTTTTTCTGAAAGTTGGTTCAAAAGCATAAAGGCAAGGCAGCCTGGTGATCCTCAATATTAAAAACTGGAGGCCTGGCATCTTAAGGACTGGAGGCTGCTATACTTCCTCATGAAACAAAAGATATTAAGGATAACTAGTTACCCTGAGGTACTGATATACAGAATCTTCTTGATGGGCAGGGACTACTGACAGAGTTTGAAAAGAATCAAATTAGTTTTGGGATACCAGTCCAGATTTTATTCCCAGCTGTTAAGGGAAAATGAGGAGATTCATGAAGGAGAATTCAGTAACAGGGAATGATACACACAGCTTTCTTAAGAAAATTAAATTTAACAGGTATCATTATTTTTAAAGACAATAAGGTATTTAAAAAAAAAACAGGCAAATGAGCACAAAACTACGTACTTTGTATAGACATGTATAACAACGTAGTGTATACAGGTCTCACGGACACTTAAATGTTGTAGTCTTCTGAACAAGGCTTATTTTTTCCCACACCAAAAACTCTTCCAGATTTATTTAAGCCAGTTACATCATAGTTTTTAATGACTTTTGTTGTCATTTATTAACTTCTGTTCCAATATCATTGAAGATTTTGACACTGATTGTTGTCCCTTTCCTGCCATCAACATAGGTGACTTTAGTGTCCATGAAGACAACTCAAACTATAACTAATCTAATCTCCCAGTTTCTTGACCTCAAAGTCCAATAACATTCACCCAATTGCTACTTTAACGTTGTGCTGCCAGACTACTCTAACATATATATTTAATACTATTTTACCTCTTAATATCCTTCAAAGCCTTGCCATTAACTACAGAGTTTGAGGTGTTACTGGTTAAACCTTACATTCTAGCCATATGCACTACCTGCAATTCCTTGAGTTGACCATGTTGATTCATACTTCCATGATTTTACTAATGGTTTCTCCCTCTACCTTGCATACCAAGGAATCACTAGGTCAACCTGTTGTTTTTCAAGACTAAATTTAACTCCAAAAACTGAAGAAAAATAAGCATTTTTTACATATTGTTATTGTAAGTCTAAACTGTTATAATCTTTCAAGAAAAGTAATTTGCCAATGTGTACCAGGAGCCTTAAAAATGTTTATTCTCATGGGGCCAATAATTCATTTGATATTTTCCATTCAACAAATACTTGAGTGCTTGCTATGGGTCAGGTATTATCTAAATGTTAGGGATACAGCAGAGAATACTAAAACAAACTTCCCCTTGTAAAATTTAAATACTTGTTGAGAAGTCACTATGGGTTTGGTATTTTTCTAAGTGTTAAGGATACAGCAAAGAATCCTAAAACTTCCCCTTGTAAAATTTATGTTCTGTTGAGGTAAAACAGACAGCAAACAAAATATACAATATCAACAAATGGTAAAAAGTGGAATGGAGAAAAGCAGAGCAGAGACTAGTGACAGAAAATGCTGGAAGGGGTGCATGTGTGCAGTTTTTAATAAGAAGTCAGAGATGGCCTTACTGTCAAGCAGGCATTTTAGCAAAGACAAAGGACAAAGATTTGTGCAAAAAAATATTCTTGTTAAAATCATGTATAAGAAAATGTTTAACGATGAAGAAAAAATGCTTATGACAAACTAAATGCAAATATGAAGAAAATTACATTTACAACTGATTTTATGCAAAACACGCAAGAATGTTAATTATGACTTTCTAAGTGGTGATTTACGGACCACTTATTTTCTTCTTTATGCTTTCTGAATGGGTATGTCATATTGTTATCAGAAAAGTAAGCATTCTCTCATCTATAGCCTTCTGTATCTTGTGTCCCTTTATTTTCTAAAGCACCCTGTTGTTATCTGCACAGATGACCATCTCCAATAAAAGACTTCTAAGGAAAAAGAACTGTGCAGTTTTTCAGTGAACCTCTAGTGTTTAACAGTGCCTAGTATTGACACCTGAACTCAGGAACTATTTACTGAAACATACTTACCAGGCACTGTGAGACTATGGAACTTGACAGTGAATAAGACAGAAAAGATCTCGGCCTCATGGAGCTTGTATTTTAGTGAGAAAACAGATTTCAGAAAATTACCATGTACTAAATGCTGTGAAGCAAACTAGGAAGGAATGATAAAGAGAAAAATAAAGAACTACAGGGAGAGGTTTATATAGGGAGTAGAGTGTCCCAGACCTCAAGTCAATAAATCAAATTTCCAATCCCATTTTTACTATTTACTAAATGTCTGACTACATGTCAGTCACTTAACCTGACGCTCCATTTGCTCATAAGTGAAATGGATTCGATAAAATTTACCTCAAAAAGTTGTTGTAAAAATCAGTTTAAATGAAAATATCTGTATCAATGGATAACAGTCTCTTATAGGTAAGAGGCAGTCCCTGAAAGTTAGCTGAATGAACAAAGTGCTCAATAAATGAGCAAGAAGTCAGAAGAACCACCACACTGGAGAGGGAGGGTCTGAAAGACCTTACAGAAGAGACATGAGTTAAGCATTGAAGTGTAAGTATTTTTACCAACCTGAGGGGCAAAGCAAAAAAGCCTAAGGATGCTACCTTTAATAGTCTGGAGCTAATTAACATACAGAGGACACAGTCCTACATTTTTGGCTCTGATTTTTTTTTTACACATTTACCTTGATCTCATTTCTACATTTTTTCCCCACAGGCAAAAAAAAGCAGTGTCAACGATGCCATCCTTCCTCCATTCAGATTCAAAAATTAAGTCTGTGCTCTCTACATCAAATGCAGTTCACTTTCTTTCCCCAGCACCTGCTCTGCGCCCTCATTCTTTCCCCACCAGTCCCATTTCCATCAACTAACTGTAGTCTGTTGTCACCCAAAGCAGTGTTTTGCAAACTTCCTGTTGTGAGCCGCCTATGGATGGGTAAATAGAGCAGGTCAGGATTGTTTTTTTAAAAGAGGAAATTAGAATATAAAATACTGCACCAGGTATAGTGAGGGCAAAAACAGTCTTGTGAAGACTTATTTCAATTTAATTTCTCTGTGGGTGTTGAGTAATGATACATAATGCTATTTTTTCTGTGAAGCAGTCAAAGAAAACTTGAGAATATGATGTAAAATAATAAATTTTTTTCTGGTGGGGGGGTCAAACATCTGTTTGAAAACCTGATGGAAGTTAAGGTTTCCCTCACCAGAAAACAAGTTCATATTTACTCATGTTATGATGGTATATGAACTTCAAGTTGTTCATAAAACCTCCTGCAGCCAGTTCAAGGCCTTCAAGTTAAGAATTCTTTGGGTGTAACTTCAGATACTGCCAGAATTGAGTTTCCTGGATCTACATTTAATATATGCAACTTTGTGTATATGAAAAGCCCCTAGAAGGCACGTTTGCATCAGCACCTTTGACAAATAGCAAGATCTCAAGACGCTTACAGAACTGAAACACATCCTTGTTTTCCTGCTTCAGAACCACCAGTCTCTTTAATGGTCAAAAAATAGTTTCAGCCTTCTCCTGCTATTTTTTCCAGTATTTACTCAGCCCCTATAACACACCTACCACTCACTGCAGACACAAAGGAGTGTTCCTTTATACACTGACTTCCTCATCTTCTCATTTTACCACCTATCAGTCCCAGAAGGGCCTCTGTTCAGGACAAACGAAACTGTTCTTTATTCCCCCAATATACCATTACAAGCTCCTCCTCCTTCATTTAAATTCCATTCCAACTTTAAGACTCAGTTCTAATGGGTTTTTGTTTGTTTTTAATCCAATCTTTCTAGATGGGTACAGCATTTGCTGGGTATACTAAGGTTGTTAACTAGGATTCAAGAACAGACTTCTGTGGACTTCTAATATTGTATGCAAGACTTTATGTAAAGGTGCATTTTCCTAGAGACAGGCCATTGCTTTCACAAAAGATTTTAGGAGATTGCAGAGGGTCCTATATGACTCAAAAACGGCAAATAGATACACTATTAATTTTTTATTATATGCTGTTTCTTTCGTCTTTTCTATTTCCCAAAGGCAGGAATTATATTCTTTGTGTAGCAAACAAACAGTAGATATTTGGGTAATGTTTGCTACTTTTGATTTGGGTCTCCCTCAAAACCATTCCTAAAAAAATGACTGAAATGTCGCCTACAAAGAATGATGAACTTAGTTACAGTTCACGTGATCCCTTATTTGTAAGAATAAATAGAAGTATATCTTTAGATCTACCAAACTGACATACAAGCAAGATTTAAATGGTCGGTCATTATGTACCGACCATTCAACCAACCACACAGTAAACTTTGTTTAAAACCCTCAAATGTCGAAGGCCTATTTACAAGTTCGGAGGCACAAAAACCCTACAGGCCTTTATTTCAAGTCTTTTTTTTTTTTTGTCCCCAGTTATTACTATTTTTTTTTTTAAATAGGTCAACCTACTTCGTGAAGGTTACAACTTGGTAACATTTGTCATTCATAAAACTACGGTATCTGCAGGAGTTGGAGGCAGTTTCTTAACAAAAGAGCTACTAGAAGGTTGGAGATACCCAGTACAGTGAGGACCCAGGGCTGTTCCGTTTTATTTCTCAAAAGATGCAGGTCCAAAGGCAGAGCACGCCCACCCCACTCGTTGGGAAAGTTGAAGGCGTTGTTCCGTGGGTCCTGTGTGAGCACGAGAATTAGTTACAGGCCCCGAGGTGAAAGGGATTCAGGCGCGCCGTTCCCCTGTCCCGCCGGCGCCCGAGCCCACGCTGCGCCCCCCGGACCGGTGGCGGCGCCGCGCGACTCCCTGAGGCGCGGAAAGAGGCGGCGGCGCCGAGACGGAAGCTTTTCCTGTAGGTGAAAGGTCAGAGGCGCCGTGGGAGAGGCTGCGGTGCGCACCCAGCCGCTCGCGAACTCCCTCTCGCGCCCGCTGCCCAGGCCCCTCTCCGGGCTCCTGGCCCCGCTACGGCCTGCGCTTCTGTCAGAGCCCCGCGCAGTGGGCCCGGGCGCTCCAGCCGCTCTCCGAGCTCCCAGCCCACCCGGAGCAGCGCGCCGCCGCACCGCCAGAGTGCGGGTTCTGCCGGCCGAAGCCGCAGGCTGTTGGGAGGGCTGGGGGCGCGCCTGTTGGCAGTTTGGAGGAAAGAAACCCCCCCCGCCCCTGTCCCGGGTGCGGCCGCTTTTTTCCTCACCCGGCTCTTACCGGCGCTTCTCTACCGAGCTACGTTCTGTGCCGGGCGTAGACCGGTCAGTCCCGCTGCGGCGGCTGCTGGGGCGGGGGACTCCGGGAAGAGACACGTTGGAGAAAGCTGAAGCAGGGAGGGTTAAAAAAATGGGGGTAAGGAGCTTTCTGCGTTTGTGTATTTAGGGGGGGTCAGAGTTCGTGACCCCTCCCTCAGCTCCTCGGTGCGCGCTCCCGTCGGGGCCTGCGCACTAGTGGAGTAACGAGGCGGCGAGAGCAGGTCGTGACGTTCCTAGTGGAGGGATGAAAGAACTGAGCCCCTGAAAGTCGGCTGCCCCCTATCGTAAAGGAGGGAGACTGCCCCGCCAGAGCCACTCAGCCCTCCTGGGAACTTTCAGAAGCCGCCTGCGCTTAGCGTCTTGTTTGCAAAAGGCGGTCCTTAAAACGAAGTTTTGAGACTGTTCAGATTTGAGCAAAAATAGATAACCTTACCAGTTTTAGACAGTTCGGTTTCTAACTTGTGGAAAAGTGGGCTCTGTTATAGGCTCTTACCTTAAACTAAAAGTTTTGTTAGACTAACAAAACGTTAGATCCCAATAAAATATTAAAAAAAACCTTAAATTTAAAAAGCTGGGGCAGAATCTTATATATTAAGGCAAAGTTTAATGAGTCAACTCTCGAGAGTAAATGGGTACAATAGTTAAATGAAGCTAGAATATAATCCCTTAGAATGTAAACTTCCGGAAGACAGGCTTTAGTCTTTTGTTCAGTGGTGTATTCCCAAATTTATAGGACAATGCCTAATGGTCAATAAAGATTTGCAAAATGAAAAGGCACTGACAGAACACCACATTGTGATAGTGGCCACGTGAGGCACTGAAAGAGCTGCCCACTTTGGGCGAAGTACTGTGTGTTTTGGACTTTAAAAGAAGGGGTCCTCAGTATGTTTTTTAGTATTAATTGGCACTAGAAAAGCAGTCACCGATTCAGGGCAGAAACCCAAGTCAGGAAAAACAAAGGTGCACTGGTAAGAACATCTCTGCTGTCATTTCTTTCTGGAACCTGGAAAAATAACAGAAAGGGGGCATGCAACAACCCCTAACGAGTGGAAATATGTTTTATGCCTCATTTTTTAAGTCTTCCTCTTCCTTTTAGTATCGTTTGTTGTGTGGTTGGTGGTTTTAAGGCAGCCCCTCCTCCATCCGCCCAAATTCAGGACCAAATCCTTAAAGTTGGTACCAAAGGTGAAAGCTAAGAAAGTATATTATAGGTCCAGTGGAAAAGGGAAATCTGAGAACTTTTCTCTATTCTCACTGCCCAATATATATGTCTATAATGACACTTGGGGTTACCCCCTTATCCAATTAATTCACTTAAGTCAATAAATTGACTTTTTAAAATTTGGAGGTAGAAGCTATTTTGGGAATATCTTTTGTGGGTGAAAAAGAGATTCACCTAATTATGATTCAGGAAAACAGGCCAGTGTGGTTCATCTTTAAATGTAGGACTATAAAAATTTTAAAAGACATCACCACACCAAAAGTAGATTCAGTAAATTTATTTTGTATAAATATAATACATATTAACATTATTTACAATGCTAGTAGTTTATTTATAAAGGATCTACATCTCTATATAGACAATAAGATACAAACTATTATCACTTTAAGTGAAAAGTGTTTCTAGAAATTTGTCATTTAAAAAAACAATAGTTTTTTAAGATTGATTTTTAACATGCTGTGACCAACTCACGTAAGAGAAAGCTGCCCCCTTCTATCCCCCTTCCTCCCCCAAAAAGGGAATTTGATGTTGAGGCTTTTTGAAAATTTACTACTATCTTTATCTTAAAAAAAAATCCTACTAGATATTTTCCCTTAGGAAGTAACATTAGAAGTAGCATAGGCTCCAAAATATTTGTGTATTAGAAGCACTCAAAAAGAGAGAGAGAGATCTATTTGAATTAATTTAATTATTTAATTCACCAAATACTGAGTGTCCAGTGCAGGCAAGGCACTCTGCCAGATGCTGAGGGAGAATCTCAGATGAACAACATACAGTTGCTGTCCTCAAGGACCGAATGTGACAAGCACCATAAGAAAGTCTGTTTAGGAGCTAAAGGCTATGGGAACATAGAGGAAGGAGAGCATAGATCTAGTCTGGAGGGCAGGGGAGAGACGGACTAGGATTAACTGTTACAGAGAAGTCCTGGATAAATAGGCAGAAATGGAGGTGAGGGAAGAGGTGAGAAAGAAGAAAACCGAACAGAGAAAGGCTGGGTTGGGGTTAGCTGCAGTGTATGATACCTGAGGAAAAGTGTTGCATGCCAAGCCACTGGGAAGCCAATAAAGGTTGTAAAGAGCAGGGATGAAAATAGAACTATGCTTTACAAGATGACTCTGGGAGCATTTAAAATAGGCATTGGAATTAGAAGAAAAGTTATGCCACTCATTAGGAAGAGGTAAGAAGGACTTGATCTAGGTCTGATGCAATAACAGAAGAGCAATGAAGATGGAGAGGATATGAGAATATTTGCAGAGGGTCTTGTTGATACTTGGAGGCAGATTCTGGAGCCTAGAATGGTGTTTTTCCATTGCAGAAGAAAATAAACAGATTTGAACGGAAAGAAACTGAGTTAAATTTCAGTCATGTTAAGTTTAAAATGCTTAAGGATTCATGTAGACATCCAAAAGGTACTTGCAAATCAGCCTTGCAGAATGTTAGAAACAGTAGGTCTAAGATTGAGGTATAATGAGGGCACATTGGGAGCGGGGTTTGAGATGTAGATGGCAAGAATCCTGTCCTTACTTTCCTCAACAAGTATTTTCTCTTAAAAGACTGTCTTAAGGGTAGTATTTTGTGAAAAGCAAATATATATGATATATACTATCTGTCTTTAAGGAGTGTGCAGTATTAAAAGAGAAATAGGATTTACCTCTCTGGAAGTCCCAGTGACTACATTTGACTACAGTGGATCTCAAACTTCAAAAACCGAGTATAATGAAAGCACACTCCAAGTCATATCACCATATACTGTGATAACATTTATGTTTTAACTAAATTACTAAATAGCAGGCCTTCCCTATTTCTGGATATCTTCTACCAACCAAAAAAAATTATACATTTGGCTAACAAAACTAAACTCTAAAGTTGTCTTCTTCACTTAGTTGTTTCATTACAGCGTTGCATTAAACAAAGGTTTCTCTGATGATCTCATTTTAAGAAATGCTACCATATAGTCAAAGAATCAAGCTTTTACTTGAAAAAGAGAGAATTAATTATCTTGGGCAAAGAACAATAGGAAAATACTGGGTACATTAGGGAACAGGGGAAAAGAAGTTGGAGGGAGGTTCAGAAACGTGGGATAATGCCAAAGATAACCTTTCTCGTTTTCCTAGACTCTGGAGGGTCCTCTACGTGACATCTGCCACAGATAAAGGGCGAACACTTGTGGGAGACATGTACTAAGAACGCCAGCCTTCCTCTAGTTTAACGTGGCATCTCTTGTCTAGGTTTCTTTCAGCATTCTTTTGGGCTTGGCTTTATAACTGCTCTTCTGACATTGTGTAATATAATACTCGCCATATTTTGTTTTTTAAGAAATAATACATTTATGTTTGTGTTGAACTGGCGGCTTTAAAAAAAATAACTAGCACAATCATACATGAGTTCCACATGTAATTAGTGGAATTACTAGAAGTTTGTGCCGCGTTTCTTGTATTTAAGTATTTAACTGGTTCTTGATTTGGTCAACTGTTGGAAGATAGAACAGCCTCGGCTGATGATTTTTAGATTCTGATTAAACCAAAAACCTTGTAGTCAGAAGGCTGAGAGCTCAAAAACAGGAGGGAAGAATGCCAAAAAACTTCTTTTGTGAAATGCTAGTCCCAAGGAAGTAGAAGGAAACACTTTATATAAAAGGCATAATCTTGGTCTCCAGAAGGGATACACTAAAAACTGGAGGATTTTTAACACGGAAACCTTATTTACGTTATCTTGGTTAAAATTAATAAGCTGCAAAGAAGTGTTAGTTTACCTACAGAGACAGAAAGAATTGGGAGATAGCATGTGAGGATTGTGTGAGGGTTTAAAATGATTCCAAAGCAAACAACAGCCGGAAAAACTATAGCAACCAACTCTAGATCTAGTGGAGACCCTGATGCTGTAACAGACATTCAAAAGGCTTCAGAAGGGCACCCAGGACTGCTCTTGGCAATCATAAATATCATACTGAATTAGGAAAGTCTTTATATAAAAGCAGAAGGGAATTTTCTTGTGCCCTTTGATGAACTATTTTATGGATTATCTGGCCTTTTAAGATAATTTATATTTAGTTTAAGCTCAATCAATAAATGTACATTCTCAACATCAGGAATGACTTTCATCATAGTGTTAATTTCATTTTTCCTCTGCTAATCAACAATTTAATCTACATCGTCCATATGTTAAACAATATGTGCACCAGAATTAGGAATATAAACCCTTCCTAATGAGGTACACTGGCAGTTGGTTAAAGAAAAAAAAACTTTTTTTTAATTACCAGGGAAGACATAACACAAACTAGTATTAAAATGAACAGTACACAATTTCAGCTAATACTGGCTTTAGAATTTGTGCTTTTGTGATATGGTAATTCCAGTTCATTTTTTAAATCACAATATTAGAGGAAACGTAACATTCTTTTTAGATGCAAATACCACCTGACTTGGGCTCAGAATACTTACAGCAGCAAGGGACATTATGTAATATAATGCTTGTCATGTTTTGCTTTTTAAAGAAATAATACATTTATGTTTGTTTTGAACTGGCAGCTTTAAAAAAAAGATCAGACTTAATGTAAAGGCCATAGAGTTGATTATTTGTGTTCCCCTACAGATGAAAACATCCTTTTTCCTGCTCAAAATTCAGTTAAATAAAAACTCAGATTCTATCCCTTTGCTATAATTCCTTGATGATGTGACATTATCTCATGCCAAAAGATACACATAACAGTAGAAATATTTTAGATAATTTACCGGAATTTCACAGTTACTGAGGTAGAAATTGGCCATGTATGTTTCCTTTAAAAGATACAAAACTTCATCTAAATTGACTGATTCAAAGACATGCATTTTTTATCAGCAGTTTTATAATCATAATTTCTAAACCAAACACTGCATGGAAGTTTGCTCCTTGATGTGTGTTTTATATTTACCACTAGTGAGAATATTACAATTTAACACTGTAAAACACACTGAGAAAACAGAACAGACTGTGTCACAAATAGTTAATACAGTATACAGTATTAAGATAAGTTTTCTGTTTTCTAAAGTAAAGGTACTTTAGAATTCAGTGTCACTCTCAGAAATAATTCTGACCATTTAAGTAAACATCAAAAGTTTAATAAATAACATATATGAAAAACAGACATTTAAAAAAATACCTTATACCTAACAAAATAATTTCTTTGATGAAGATTTTGGTTGGATTTATCTTGGCACTGTTCATTTATAAAACTTTTGCACTGCATTTACTCTATTCTGATGAAATTTCACCCTTCTGGAATCATACAAGAGATGAGACCAATATAGCTACAATATTGTGCCTTCTTGAAATGCTTCTATCCACCTAGAAGAGAAATTTGTTAATCCGTAAAATGCAATCATCCAATACATGTTAAGACAATATAGGTAATAGCTGTGGCTGTGCATCCAATTACCCTAACATTATATTTAAGGTCTTTTCTAGAGCAAACAAGAATTCTGTATGTATGGAACTACCCTTTATTTGGTAATCTGGACCCAAATTTGGCCTGAAAAGTACATCTCTTATTTCTATGAGGCATGAGGAAGAGGCCATTTCATGTAAGAGCTCTATGAAGTCCTAATGATCCCATTTAATTGATTTTGGAAGTGAAGATAGCTGCAAAGCCCTTTATTTCAACCCGCTTTCTGCCTTTAGGAACACTAGCTCTATCCCCATCTCCTCATCCCTTAATTCTAAGAACCTGAGATTCCTTGGGCATCTATAGTCTAGACCTGTTTTAATATTTTCAGTGGAAGGGAATCTAGCATCTAGTGGTGTACGCTCAGTTAATCTAAAGTTTGTTTGCAATATAAAAGTGTCTCAGAGTTTCACAGAAGTCTTTCTAAAATTCTTGTCTCAAAAGTTTTACCTGACAACATACACAGCTACTGTTATTCAAAAAAACATCTGTAGGTAGTTTCTTTGTGCCTCCCTAGTACTGTAATTGCTTCTGAACTTACCAGGAACATTTTAAATCACTCACTTTAATTAGTAAAAGTGGCCTATAACAGATTTATCTCAAATTTTTAGGATGGAATTTAAAAAAATTAAATTTAAAATGCAAATGGCATATGTTATACCATAATTATAAGACTGTTAAAGTCAAAAGTTCCCATTAAAATTAACATTTTTTTATTTTGTAATGTTTAAATAGAGCAACCCATATGGTAATAATAATAAGCTCAAAGAGAAACATAATTTAGCCTGTATTAATTCTAAATTACAAATAAGCTGATTCCTTTCACCCAACTACATTCAACTCTGTCTTGAAGGGATTTCTATCTTGTTAATTTAATGATATAAGCAAAAGATGTATATTCAAAAGCTTATCAGCTTGATGGTGAATACAGATGAAGATGATGAGAAATATAGTATCTAATAGAATATTAGGGCAATTACTATTTTATCCAAGTAATTTTAAAGAAAAAAATACTTGTGTCATAATTTTAAAATATTCTTCAGTACCTAAAAGAAATTTTTTTTTTTTACCTAAAAGAAATTATTTGGAGGAACAGCTAACCATGGCTAGATATCCTAACATAGACCAAAAAAAAAAAAAATTTCTTATAGGGTATTTTTGTAACAGTACCTGATTAATATTCAAGAACATACATAATTCTGGCATATTAATTCAACTGCCTGGCTTATTTAAATCAATCTTTTTAATCTACATGCACTTTTTAAGCCTACTGAAATAGAAAACATGAGCACCTCTTAGTGAAAACAAAAACTAACATTTTTATGAGGCCAAAATAAAAATTAGATGGAAGGGAGGTGAACCGAACTGTTTTGTTCAGAAAGGAGCTTGATTTCAGAGATATGCTTCTCTATGTTAAGCCACCTCATGACATCTAAATAAATATTCTTGTTGGAATTTTGAAGAGACTGTTTCAGCCTTTTTCATCTAAAATGATATCCATTTCCTTCTACTCAGTCATTGGGAACAGCATGGGAGCCTCTTAATGTGTTTGACCTTTTCCCCAAAGAAGTAAGTTAGCAAGCAGCTGTTTAAACTCCTGCTGTTCCGTGGCACAATTGAATCACTGGATTGCCAAAGTCCTAGAACGTTTCAAGAGAAGATTCTTAACCTCATTGGAGGAGAGGTCAAATACCTCAGCGTCCCTTCCTTTCAGCAGAGTAGCATCATGCTGCTTCCTCGGAGTCACGTGCACACAAAATATTTTGGACAGAACTACCTATTTTCTTCTCCCCTCTGCCTCCTGAAAGTATTTCAGATACACTCTCCTATCTTTAAAACAATTCTAAAGAGTGTGAATAATACATTAAATCTTTCTAATTTGGATCTCTGATTTAAATTCTTAGTTGTTCTCATGCACAAAAGTAGGTTATTTTAAACATCACTCATTTAAAGTACCAACTTGAAATCTTATGTATGATAAATATGCCTAAATTACTTACTTTTGAGCTGAGTGAGCATCATCTGCTTTGAATACGTAAAATAACATGTTTTTGTGCAGTAGCTGAAACACTCTAGACTCTGAATTCTCATCTTTGACTTGAGTGACAGTGAATCCTAGTAAAGGTTGACTCTCCAATGCTGCCACGTCCTAATTTACAAAGACACAAAGGGAGATGGGTTTTTAAATTCAGATCTGAAAACTCTTGATCTATATAGTTCTAATTTAATTTCATTATACACATAGATAAAACAATGGTAATTCTAGCAACTTATTCATTTTTAATTTCCTCAACAGTATTAATTGAGCTGCCCCACTTCAGCTACCCAATGAGCTAGACACTGTGCTAGATAGTTTTCAATGTGTTCATGTCCATTGAATTTCATATTATTTCCCTATAACCAAGAGAGGTAAGTAATTACATTACTTTCATTTTGTGGATGCAGAAAACATAGCTCTAGAAAGGTGATATCCCCTAGTCCCACTAAATTAGAGCTTGGACCCTAGAGAAGTGGTTTTCATAGGATGCTGGAACAAAGGATGGTCAGGTAGGAGAAAAGGGTAGTATTAGAACCAACAGCCAGAAATTGTTTATAACCCAGAACAAAGTCGATTTATCTATGCTGATACCTGATCAGTACAACCTGGGGATAGTCAAGGGAGTGTCATCCAAGAGAACTTAGCAGAAAGGATAAGAACCTCTGCCTTGGGGAAGGGTACAGCACAGTGGTAGGGCGCATGCTTAGTATTCGCAAGGTCCTGGGTTCAATTCCCAGTACCTCCATCATAAATAAATAAGTAAACCTAATTACCTCCCACTTATCCCCACCAAAAAAAAAAGAAAAAGAACCTCTGCCTTTAGTAGTCAGTGGTCACATGACACCCCCAAAACGTACATTCTAATACTACGGAAAATTCCTAACATTTTTAAGTAAGAGCTCTTTAGGTACAAAATAAGGACACTGTTCATGTCAAAAATAACAACATCTCCTCCAAAAGCAAAGTGAAATAAAAATCATAGACAGATTAAGCAAACACTGTAATTATTTCCAAGTAGCATTATAAAACAAGACCCCCAAATTACTCATATTTAAATTTCAGATCTTACCTCACTTGCAGCATATGTATATAGCACTTTATTTTTTATGACAAACCACAAGTGTTTCCAGGGTTTTTTATTGCCCTTTGATCTGTACAAGTAGCCACTCATAGAAGAATCTTCTGTGTTTGCTGATACCTAGATAAGCAAACCCCATACACAGTTTAATGGTTTTCAAACAAAAAATAAATTTTAAATAATAAAATTGCTTTTGATCTTTGGTGCTGAAAGCAATAACCATAATAATAATATCAGGTTTCAGAATGAAACTGTTTATTTTCAAAGTTTGCTACCGTACAAATTGAATACTGCCATTACCATGAGTGTAAAACCTTTCCTTTTAGAAATTCCAGAATTTTACCTGGTTTAACTGTGCTTGTAGGTATGTATTTCTCTGTGGATACACCTGTGTTTTCTGAGTTGCAATGAGATGAATCATAATTTCAAAGGTCAAAAATGCCTTTTGAAAGCTGTATTTTGGGGACTGTATATGTTTATTGCTCCTCTTACTTTGGAGTGTTAGGGAAAATTACTTAAACCTTTAGCTCTGTTCTGAAAATAAATTTTTGGACTTCTAAAAACTATATCAACAGTAAAGTAAATAGAAAATTCTATTATTAATGGTGATGTTAAGGATCAGTTTCTGCTCTCCAAATTTTGTCCTGAAAGAAAAGAAACCTATTTTGTTTCATAAAAGGCTGAAAATGTCTTAATCTCTAGGTAAAAGGTAGTATTCAGTGATTACAATCCAGCAGTTGAAACTTCTTTCTCTTTTTAAATATAGGAAAAATTGAGATGTAAGAGCCAAGTTTAGGAACTGCCTTGTTGGTGACATGACAAACAGACTCCCAGGGTGGCTTCCTGCTGATCATCAGGCTGGTGCACCATCTCCTGTGGGCAGGACCTGTGACTGCCCCTAACCTATGGAATATGGTGAAGGTGATGAGATGTCATTTCCCTGAGTGTGTTAACATTACATCAGACTCCGTCTTGCTAGCAGGCAGGCTCTAGAGCCTTTCTACCATGCCGGCTTTGAAGAAGCAGCCATTTGGGGAGGCCCATGCGGCAAGTTGCTGAGGGCATCCTCGAGGAGCAAGGTAGACCCTTCCCTAGTCAGCCTCCAGATGAGAACTCAACACTGGCCAATACCTTGACTGTGGCCCTGCAGAGATTCCCATCTAAGCTCCCGAGATAATAAATGTGTGTTGTTTCAAGCCACTAGCAATAATTTGTTACACAGCAATAGAAAACTAATAGAGATGGGCTCTGTGAATTTTAAAACTATGTCTTTAATCATGAAGTAATTGTATTAATTTCTTATAAATTTCATGAAAAGGATGATAATTGTTTAGTGGAAAATTTATATCTAATGTTAAATTAGAAATATCTGTCAAGTGCAAGTAAATTTGTATGCAGAAATAACATGCTTGCATAAAACTACCAAGTAATTTAAAAAAAAATTAGAATGTTTACATTCAAAAGAGGTTTCTCCTAAAATGTAGTTATGTTGGGATCCTACTATGTACTTACATTAAGTGTTACTGTCATTGCCCAAAATATTTTGTACATTCTTCTTTTGGAATATTTTATAATTAATTTATTAATCATACATTCACAATATTGAATAGCCATACATAGTCCTCTATCATCTTTTTAAAAAAATTGGTGTTAACCAGCTTAAGTACATGATTCACAAAACTTTCTTTCCAATGATTTCACTATTAAAAAAATAATAAGTCAAATCCAACTCAAAAGACAGCCTGCCATTACTGAGGGTACTGAGGGTACATAATTTCACAAAAGAGGAATTTCTATACTACTGTAACAGAGAACTGTATGCAATGGCTTATAGTAACCTGTAATGAAAAAGAATAATTAAAAAGAAGATATATATAATGGAATCACTATGCTGTACACCAGAAACTAATACTACATTGTAAATCAACTATACTTCAATTTTTTTAAATGTTTAAAAAAAAAGGAATTTCTAAAGATGTATTGAACGTCACTGGAATAAAAACACAACTTCCAAATTCCTCAAAAAGTTAAACACAGAATTACCATATGATCAAGCAATTTCACTCCTAGGTATACAACCAAGACAAATGCAAACATACGTCCACACAGAAATCTGTACACAAATGTTTACAGCAGCGTTATTTGTAGTATCCAAAAGGTGGAAACAACCCAAATGTCCATGGATAGATGAATGGATAAATTGTGGTGTATACATACGATGCAGTATTATTCAGACATAAAAAGAAACAAAGTGCTGACACATGCTATAACTTGGATGAATCTCAAAAACACTGTGCTAAGTGAAAGAAGCCAGACACAAAGGTCACATATTGTATGACTCCTTTTATATGATACATCCAGAAGAGGCAAATACATTGAGCAGATTCGTGGTTGCCAGCAGGCAGAGGGAAGGGGGAAAGGGGACGGTTACTTAACAGACACAGGGTGTGTTTATGAGGTAATGAAAAGGTTTTGAAATTAGAGCAATATGCTGGTTACACAACATTGTGAAAACACCAAATACCACTGAATTATATACTTTAAAATGGTTAATTACATGTTACATTAATTTCACCTCAAGTTTTTTTAAAAAGAAGAAAAACAGCTTTCTGAGAACACTTTGACTTTTACAGCACTGAACTGGAAAAATTTACTTCCCCTGTGTAACCACAAATAAGCAAAGCAATGGTTCTTAAACTGTAGTATGCCTACAAGTGAATCACTAAGAATGCTTGTTAGAGTTTCTGATTCCATACAGCTTGGGAGGGGCCCAAGAACCTGCATTTCTGATACGTTCCCAGGTGGTGCTGTTGCTGCTCTGGAGAACACTTTGAGAACCGATGGAGTAAAGGGAGCAGTGGCTGTAGCCAGGAAGCAGAGGTTTGAAAGTGCAAGGCCTGTTTGTGTGGCCGGGTAGAAAGATGTACAAAACAGGACTGGAATTAGGTTGAGTCTAGTCTATAGATCATAGAGAGTTTCTGTAGCCAGTGCTGTGGAGTTCAGACTGAAGCGGGGAGCATGTGTAAGAATTGTATGTATGAACTGTGACCTCAGCATGGAGAGGTGAAAAATTACAGAGAACTGAAACTTATTTCAGTTGGTTAAGAACTTTTAAGTTCCTGAATATGGGTTTAGATTCAGGAACTGAGTCATGGAACAGGTAAACTTTAGAGGTATTCACTCAGCTGGTATAACCAGTTCCACAAGAAACTTGGCAAGAAACATGGCATTGTAAATTGTACTCTTACTATTTCATGTGATTGGCTATAGATCACTTCCTAGTATTTCACTTGCCGAGATGAAATACACTCAACTTTACATAAGAAACATATCTTGGTCAAATTTTTAGAGTTTGCTTCCACTTTCCATGATAGGACACCTCCATAGCACCACTCCTGGACACAAAACTAGCACAGGTGGAACTAATTAATAAACTAAGCAAAATAGGAGTAACCAGAAAGGCAGTACTGTCTGATCTCTTGACATTGGCTGACTGAACACTTGAATTTGAGGAACTGGAATAGGGTATCAATGATGCCTGCAGATTGACACCAGTGGCAGGTCTAACTGCAGGCTACTATCACTTAAAATTTTTCTTTTAAGTTTAAAGGAAGAATAACCCACTATCTGTGATATCAGCTGTATATAACCAACTAATGTCTACAAAAATCAAGCCATACAGATGAGTAAATGCTAATAAAATGCCCCAAATATTCTACAGACCTCTTCCCTCTGGTAAGGGGTCTCCTCAAAGTAATTTTAAAAATTCATGTGTGTCCAAGTTATCTTTACCTTCTATCATTGCTATAAAGTGTTCTGCAAACCTTTCAACAGCCATTTTCTAAATTACTCAGGTCATAAGTGAGACCAAGCAAGGTAGTGAGGCCTCAGCCACATCCATCACCAGTATTAAAATGCATGTCTTAATAGTAGTGGGAAATGACATCTTCCTTTAGAAAGAAAAACAGTGTATTATAAGCATATGAATAATTCAGCCTCTATCAGGTTGCAAGTTTAATGCAAACACTTACTTCTTTGAGAGCAGCTGGGATTTTTTTCTGTTTCCTCCCTGATGGAATACTATGTAAGACTGATGATAAGGCACTTGAAGGAGATTTGTGATTTCCGGGAGATCCAGTCTTAGGAGAGTGCTGGTGGTCTAAAACAAATCAGGTACACTTATGTAACCAGTGGCAAGCATTCTGCAACTCAGTTTAATCCAAATCAATAAACATTGCTGCATAAAATATCCATGGAAGGATACTTAAGAAATTTATGACACTGAGGCTTCTGGGAAAAGAAGATAAATGGTGGGAAGTAGAGTGGGAGGAAGACGATCCACTGTCTATGATTTTATACTTTTTCAATGCAAATCCTATGAAAAGATTGCCTTTTTGTGCCTTTAGAGTTCTGAAACAGGTTAGTGCACTAACAACTTAAAAAAATAAAAATTCCCTCCTGACTTACAAACAAACAAACAACAAAACTAACAATAGCATTTGGTATCCAGATACATGACCAAATATTACAGTGAACAAAGTACTAGAAAAGGGACTATCAGACAAAATGAGGAAGTAATTAATTTTGACTGCAGAGGTTCAGGGAAAGCTGAGAAAAGAATGAGAGGTTTGAGTTGGCCATTGAGGTGTAAGTAGGAGTTTGCCAAGCAAAAAAGAGGAAGAAGAACACTCCATGAAGAAAAGTCAGCATAAGCAAAAGCACAGAGGTATGAAATTAGATCATCTATTTGGAGATGAGGCTGGAGAAAAAAAATAAGAAGGCTGGATCTGAGGACTCTCTTTTAGGCCTTTTAGGCTGGGGAGTAACATGAGCAGACTGAATTTTAAAAAATAAATCTAGCAGTAGGGAAGAGGAAGAATTTTCAGCAGAAAAACCTGTTCAGAAATTAGGACAGTAATTCAGATGGAAGATAATGAAGGCTTTATTAGGACTGAGATGAAGAAATCAAGAGCAAGACAGGTTTTCAAAGATAAATTTGACAAGATTTACTGACCAAGTGGGTGTGGGTGATGAGAGAGGAGAATTCAAAAAAGGAATTTTGAATGTTTGAGCCTGTATTATATATATTCAGAGAACAAAGGTTGGAACATAAGGGTGGCAAATGATTAGATAGGTGTGTCTTCTAGGAAAATGTGTACAGACATTTATTTATTCCTCTATAAGTAGCTAGATTCTGAAATAGCATGCCATCTAGTTTGATTCACTTAGATATTCTCATTTGCTGATGAAAAGCTATCTTCATCTGCATCAAGGATAATTTTTTAAAAATCTAGATCCTACAGGTCTCAGGAAGTTAACTAATGATCTCTTCCCAAAATGTAGACCTGAGCTGCATTCATCTTAACTGCAGGGATGGATATTTGCAGATAATGAACAGGTAGATAAGATTTATCATTTTGTATTTGGTGAAAAGCTGCACATTTAGATGTAAAACAAAACCTTACTAAATCAAAGTGATTAGAATAAGGCTAACAAAGTGCCACCTAGTATATTTCCATAGAGCATTACTTTACTGATAGATTAAAAATGATTTGTAATGAGCACACAGTTGTGAAACTAGAAGCTTCAAAATTACTTGAAAGTTAAAGTTCCTTTGTAACTGTTTTAAGTTTTTCATCCTGTGATTACATTTCTACAATTAGTATTCTTAGCAAAACTGTTTTCAGGGTAAAAATAAGTTTCAGTCCAATCTCTCTTGGAATTACCACAAAACATGAGCTAAGAAAGCTTAACCAAGTTAAGAAAGCAAAACACTTAATATTTTGAGTTAAGTATCCACCAATCATATTGCTAATGTGCCTAAGATGATTCTTTTAGAACATTGTTCGAAAGCATCTAGGGAATTAAGGAATTTTCAGTTAAATCTTTACTTGTATATTACCTAATTTCTGCAGTTCTTGGAAACAATGTTCACATACTCTTGCTGGTTGATTTTTCAGGTAATCTAAGCCATACTTATTTGATGAGCAAGCTTGACATACAATCTGCAAACACATTGGAATTATTTCATTTAGAATAACCTTTGTATCCAAATCATCTGGTATGTTACAGTTTATAGTGCTGTCTACTTTTCAAAACGTTTTCATAGTCACTGAGTCTCAGTAACAACTCAGTGGAGCTCAGACACGTAGTGAACTCACACACAATACCACACTTGAAGATGAAGAGGCCACAGATTATTACCGAGTACTTATTATATAAAATAAAATACTACAGGAGTTCATGTGCACAAAATGTTTAGACCAGTGCCTGGCGTGCAGTAAGTCCTATGTTAGCTGTCTTTATCATCATCGTCTTCATCACCATTGTCATCATCACTGCTGCAACCAGGAACACTTCTGCTGTACCTTTTCTATGTGTCTGGCCTGTACTAAATGCTCTCTAAATAAAACCTGTTAAATATTTACCGCAACTCTCTGATTGTTATTGTCACTATGCTCATTTTACTAATGAGGTCATGAAGATGTAGAAACAACACTAGTGATAACTTCAACACTGAAAGTTCCCTCCTATTAAATACTTAGTACCTAAATAAATGCAGTTTCAATAATTATCTATAAATGTGAGCATCTATTTAACTGTGAATGTGTTAGTTTTTTAAAAGTAAAAATTATCTGTTTTTCACATTCTAAGTAATCTTGGGGTTGGAGAAGGGTAAGTTCTCTAACAAGATTGCCTCATTCCTAAATATTTAGAGAAGATACCATCCATGATTCAGTATCTCCCCTACCTCCCCTTACAGTGGTTCCAAGGAGAAATGTGCTTCCTTGCTAGGCACAGTGTGGAGCTATTACAGATCACAAGGGAGACAAGTGTTATCCTCTCCAACCTTTCCGCAGGCCCGGCAGTGGTGTCGTCTCCAGGTCAGAGTGAATTCACTTGTGCAGATCATACACATTGTGGCTCTAGTATCAGGAATCCAGATGGGAGCCTTGGACCCAAGAGGACTAACTTCGTCTTTATTTTCTGAGTCTGCCTGTGGAAGAATGACCTCTGATTATCTCTAGGCACACTGACTGCTCCAGCATTAAGCCTTTTTATACTGGTGGTTCATTGCTGATGGTATCACTAAACACGTGGATGATACTTTTCATGTTCTCAGGATGCCAAGCATTGATAGCTACACTCGAAAAATCCTCTAGCGCAAAATTAACTTAAAAAGATGCCTGTGGTTGTGCAATGACAGTTGATTAGTTTCTTCCTTAAACTATATTGTATTTCCTAAATATTCTACAATGAGGTTTTATAACTAGAAAAAATATGACTGCACTATATGCTATCATAGACTTGAAGTTAGACATTAATAGAAGGAATATTTAGCTCTGAAATTGTACACACACCTCAAAAGCCTTCTGTTAAACACATGTTGCTTTTCTAAACCCCTGAGAAAAGTTTCTTTAGGGTAAAAACTGCTTGAAATGCACTGAAAACAAAATAAGAAGGAAAAGACAATACCTCATCGAGACTCCTACTAGGGCAGAATGTGATTCTTTTCTTGGCATACTCTCCTATTGACCTGGAAATCGCTTCTAGCCATTCATCCCTTTCTGGGGCAGAACTGTTGGGGGCAAAAGAAGGTTCCATCAACCAGATGTCAGCTTTTATCCTTGGCCTTTTTCTTACTTCTTTTTCCTTCTGCCATGGCAACAGATTCCTCCACCCTCCAACAATGCCAGTCACAGGCAACAACTCTGAGGTTTATGTGCACAAATAGTCACAGCAAGCATTAGGGAACACATGGCATTTTAGCAAACACAATGCTTTTTTTCTTTCCAAAAGTAATGCTTTCTATTGAATGGCTTTTGAAGTCTCCTAAACTTGGAGGTACTTTTGTTTGATTTAAGGGCTATTCATACAAGTAATAATTATGATTATTTATATAACCAAGGAGTTTCCTGGATATAATCCGAGAATTTAAAAATATTCCAAGGAATCAAGTTTCAAACCCAAATTTAAAGCATAGAATAGTAAATATTTTTAGGTTACTGAGTATTACAAAAATTTTTTGAAAGGGCACTGGAGTAAAGGAAACATATTTCTGGTGTCACAGACAGATGTTTAAGGATAGGTTAATGAGAGAAAGAGCCTTTGATGGTTATTAGGGCTTCTTTTCCTATTCAGCTCGTCACATATTCTGTTCTTACCCTCAGTTCATCAGGAGCTATGTGATTTGATTGTAGATGGAAGTGGGCCAAACAGGGGAAAAGCCTGCTCAGAAAAGGCATTCTTGTGCTGCGTTTTTGTAACCACACCTCGCTCTAAAAAATTCTATGGTAACTCAGTCACTGATATCAGCACATTTTGTTTTGCATGCTCAGGAGTGTGAAGCACATTTTAGGTATTGTGTATATGTGTGCGTGTTTGTACAGAGAGAGACAGATTATTTAATAATCAATTTAAAACTCTTATCATAATAAAATAAAATCATCATAATGTGTGATTGTGTAAGAAAATGTTCTTTTTTTTTTTTAAGAGAAGCATACTAAAGTAGGCTTGAAATGACCTGATATCTGGAATTTGTTTTAAAGTACTTTAGAAAACAGGAAAATTTGTGGCAGAATCTTGTTAAACTTTGAGTCTGGGTAACTGAATACGCAGTTTCACTGTATGATTCATTCTAATTTTAAGTATACTTGAACTTCTTAAATAATGTTTTTAAAATTAAAAATTCCATCATAAATCATGATACAAATAGGCATGTTTTGATGAATCCAGAGGATGTCAAGGACATACTTAAAAAACCACTCACCTTCCCCATAATAATCATTCTCAGAAATGTACCTTCCAACTGAATGGCTTAAGTGCCCTTTAGAATATGGACTCATAAGGATATAAAAGGTAGAAATCCAGTTTACAAATAAAATTTTAAAACTAGTATATTTTTCAAAGTTTCATTATATACCAAAATCAAAATAAAATAGGAACAGCCCTTATCTCTCCAAACCAAACAAAACCTGCCTCAGTTACCTCCACTGTTCTACCATCACTGCCCCAGCTAGCTGCCATTTATTTCACATTTACGACTATCACTGCTTACAGATAAGCAATCTCAGGATTCAAACTGTTAGATTAATTTGCTTTAGAGAACAGACTGTACTAAATGATGACTTGGTATCAGACCCAAGTGTGGCTAAAGGTTGAACCCGTCACTGCCATGTCACCTCCGGCCTCTGTTCCTGTTCTTGGAAGAATTCTGTTATGAGAACATAGGCTCAGGTTCCAAGTAAACATTCATAAAATATTACTGTCCCCCCGCCCTTTCTCCCTCCCCAACTTTTCACTGGAAAAGGGAACAGAAAACAGAGAGGCAGATGGCTAATTTGAGGATTGCTGTCTGATTTTCCTGGAGCCCTGGGAGCATAGGAAATGTGATTTGACTGTGCAAATCATGTCACATATGTTGTTCTTTCATTTAATCATTCCTGGCTCTCTCTTGTGTGGGGTTCTGCCAAAACAATGTTTACCAGCTCTTGATAACACATTTCTCACAGAGCATACACATTTGCCTGCAGCATCGTGTGAAGACAGTCTAGCTCTGCTTTCACGACATGGTTAGCAGAAGAATCAGCATCTTCCTTCTATCAAACACAGATAAACCAAGTATTCTTTTCTTTATGGAATGTGTACACTACCAGAAAGCAAATTTGCATTAAATAAGCACCATTTCTCCACTGATTGCAAAGAATGTCTAAGGGCAAAAGCTCTCCAAAAGAAGGGATTTCTGGTGTGTCAGACTTTGCCACATTATTTACTTCTTGTGTTAACTGCAGGATGTTATGCTGACATCCAAAGGCCATGTCACTTCAGTTCATTTTACTGGGAGCGGTCTATGGGCCAGGTACTGAGCCATGAACTGGGCACATGACACAAAGTACACCTCACTTCTAAGAACTCACATCTAACTGAGGTGAGACATAAAAACAAGTAATTACCATATGATACAACAAATGTAAGGTAGATAAATATCATAGAAGTAGTAAATTACCTTATGTAGGTAGCAGGGGAGGCTTTGCAGAAGTGATGACTAGGGTATGACTGGAAGAATTACAGGAGTTTGAGAGGGAACTCTCCAGTCTCTCTGTGCACCCTCAGTCAGTCTCCTAGCTTTGGTCATCATCTCTAAGCTGATGACTCCCCAGTATATGCCTCTAGTCCAGGCTTCCTTCTGACATCCAGATCCTCACATAAACTGCCTCCTTGACGACCCCATTCTCAAGATTCGCAGGCACCTCACATTCCATATGTACATGTGAACCTAAATTCCCGATTTCTCCCCTACACCTACACCTCTCCCAGTGTCACCTATCACAGTGAATGGCACCACTACCCAAAACACGGTACAAGCTGGAGACTCGTTCTCAACGTCTCTCTCTCTGTTTCTCTCTCTGTCTCTCATTCCCTATAACCAATTACTCATCATCTTCTTCAGTTCCCCTCCCTGACCATTCCCCACACAGCAACCAGATATTCTTTTAAAAATGCCAATATGATCACATCATTCCCTTGTATAAACCTTTCCGTGGTTTCCTGGGGCTCTTAGGCTAGAGACCAAAATCCACAAGATGGTTCTGCATAATCTTTCTCCCTGTCCTTCCAGGCTTACTCGGGTCTCTCTCCCTCTCATTCTCTATGTTCGTGACATGCTGGCCTTCAGTTCTCTGAATATGCCATGTCCCCTTCCACTTCAGGACCTCTGTGCACATGTTCCCAATGGCCAGGAGCCTCTTCCTTTTCTCTCCATCTGGCTATCCAGCTCCTACTTATCCTTCATAACTCAACAGACAAAGGCCTTTGGGAAGCTATCCCTGACTGTCCTTTCTCCACCAAACCTATTCGGGGTCCCTTGTTTCACAGCCTCATAGCACCTGGTAGTTTTCCTGTGTACTACTTAAGGGGTAATCATATTGACAATTGATTGTGTTAAATATTTGCTAAGTGTTATGTCTTTGCTAACGAAATGTAAGCTCAGGGAAAGAAAGGCCCTTTTGATTCTCCACTGTACCCTGATGCCTAGCACAATGCCTGGCCCAGGGGAGAGGCTCCGTATTATTTACTAAATGAAAGAATGGATTCTAGGTAGAGGTAGCTACCCATGCAAGGCAGAAGGCTGTGAAGTAGGCTGGCATGCATGGAGAACCATAAGCAGATCCATGCTGATGGAACATGCCATGCTTTGGTAGGGTTGGTGACAAGGAGAGTGAATGATCAGGCTGGTGAGGCAGATCAGAATCAGATCACAAGAGGCCTCTTAGGCCCTTTTTACATGTTATACAGCACCTGACTCACGGTGGTTGGGGGAATTCAGAAGCAGAGCCTGGCACAAAAGTTGCATTCAGTATGTGTTTGTTCCCTTTCTTCCATGCCACCTTAACACTCCCTTGGAAATTTACTTTTGCTTTATGAAGAACTTTCCAGTTTTATCATTTCTCCTGCATACCCCATGTTCAGTCCATCAGTAATCCTACTGGCTCCACCAGATTCGACCGTTTCTTACCACTCTAGTCCAGACATCATCATCTACAGCCTCCTCCCTGGTCTTCCACTTTCTACTCTAGTCTCTGTAGTTTCTACAAAGTAGACAGTCATTCTTTTAAAAATATAAATTAAATCACCCCAATACTTAGCTTAAAACCTCTCAATGCTTTCCTATCACACCTAAAAATCCAATAACCTTATTAAGGTCTAGGAAACTGATCTGAAAGAACATGAGACATCCAGACACTTACCTGATAGGCAACCAAAGAAAGAAAGATTTACCATCATTTGCTGAATTGTTTAATCTTTAATAAAATAGAATTTTGTTTTTTTACCAAAGCACATTTTTAGTTAGGAAACTTAAGTGTAATTGAAAACTTAATTTTCCTATAGGCATTTCCTCTTTGGATCTTTGAAAATAACCTTCTTGACTTTAAGAACCAAACTTAAGTCTTTGCCAAGAGCCTGATGTATAGGTTAACTTGATGTTCTTTGCACTTTCGTTCAAACTCAAGAAAAGAAAGAATAGAAAGGGAAAAAAAGGGAACAGTTCCAAGGATTTACTTTTGCTCTGCAAATACTGATCTGGAGGATACTTCAGGTATCCTCCTCTCCCCACTGCCCCAGACGGAACTTTGCTTGCTCTGGCTGGTAGCTGGGAAGCATCTGACAAACCCTGAACATAGGAATTTGTCTTTTCCTGTCAGCCTGAGATTTGATGTCAGGCAGCAGGGGCCATTCCACTTCAAGAAGAGTAACAGGAACCAGGGAGCTAGTCTTGTGTTCTGATTTTAGGAAGTCCACACATTTGGTCTGAGTCCTTGACATCCAGGGACACAGGCAACATTGCAATGGTTAAAAGCATGAATTTTAGTGTCAGATTCAAATTTCAGCTCCCCTGGCTCTGCTATTTAATAGCTGTTGGCTTTTCCATCATAAGATGGGTATAGTAGTAGTAAATTACCTTGAAAGGGTGTTGTGAAGATTTGATGAATTAATGCATAGAAAGTGCTTAGGATAGTCCCTGGCACAAAGTAAGCACTACATAAGTGTCTGCTGCTAATTTTAATGCATCAAAGGCTAGGTCTGAGAGCCACCCAGACTCGTTATCCAGATCAAGCTATGGCTGTTGGTGTCTCTCCTTTCACCAGACACATCCTGCCACACATCCACTTTGGCCACCCAGCCAAGAACTCAATAATATATGTGTAAGAGTCACACAGCTTCAGGTTTCTTTGATTTACATTACGGTAATATATTTTGATTTACACTTCCATAAGTCACTGCAGGTTCCAATTTGAGGCAATGTGGTATCATAAATAACAATAGATTTAAAAGCAAAAGATCTTCTATTCTATTCTTGGCTAGCTTTGTATCCTTAAGAAAGCATCTCAGTTTTTCTGTAACTTAGCCTTCCTTATTTTTAATGACACCTACCTCAGGGATTTACTATAACTTTGAATGTTACGTGAAAACTTCCTAGTAAACTACAAAGCACTAGATGTTTTTAAAAACATTATGTATCATTGTAAAAAGAACTGAAATACTCACTTTAAAAAATTGATCAGTGGGTAGGGTATAGCTCAATGGTAGAGTGCATGCTTAGCATGCACGAGGTCATGGGTTCAATCCCCAGTACCTCCATTAAATTAAAAAAATAATAATAATAATAAATAAATAGATAAAGTTAATTACACCTCCCCCCTGCAAAAAAAAAAAAGATCAGCAAAGCACCCTTCTCAGCATTATCATTCTATTCAGGAACATTCTTACCTTTGTGCTTCTAGCACACAATGGCAACGGCTCACAGACATTTTACCTATGTGGCAAATCAAGAGTAAACTGCATGGTATTAGGAAAGAAAAGAAGGAGAAAAAAATAAGTCTGGTAGTTAACCTAAATGTGAAAAATGCTGGAGCTGTCTGACCCTGTAATACTGGCAAATGTTCATCTATGTGTATTTTTAAAATATACCTGGCTGAGAGGATGAAGGAACGTTCTACACTTTCAATCTTCAGTTCATTCTGATATGCTTCTTGGGTGGGTTTTCCAACCTGGAGGAAAGCAAACCAATTTGAGCAGACTTATCCCATTGAAAATTTTATCCCTGAAGCACAGCTCAAGTTGCCCGATGCCTGGCTGCTGACATCACCCCTCATCTTTGGATCCAGTTTGATCCACCATTACTCTTCCTCATCTGCGCTATGCTCCAGACAAATTTAAATACATCCAGACACACAGGCCCAACTTCCCCACCCTTAGGCTTTTGTCAGACTATCTCCTTTACCTGGACTGCCTTTCCCCACACCTCAGCACCGCCATATGTGACCTATTCTGTAAGCCCTTGGCTCTTCCTCCAAAAAGACTTGCTCAATTCTCCCTCTTTCCTAGCTGCCACCAATCTCCATCATGTCCCACCAAAAGCTGCATCTTCTTTATTTTCGGAGCTCCCACAAACCTTAACTGCACTTTTATAGTGATATTTATTACTATCTATTTTATAGGTATTCATGTGTTGCAAATTGGCTTCCCAACTAGTTGCTAAGCTCCTGGGGACACTGCAGCAGAGGTAGAGACAAAAAGAATCACACTTCAACTCATCTTTGTGTTTTTCACCAACTGGTAACATGTTTTGTTTATAGTAGTTCTCAGTAAATGTCTCACGACTAAATTAATGTATGAGGGAAAAAATGACCTCAAAAATGAATAAATAAACAGTAACACATGGAAAGAGAAGAGATAAGGATGTGAGAAAGATGATTATCTTAGAGCTCCTTCTCTAAATACATTAGGGTAAAAAGAAAGTATCTTCTAACAGATGCACAGACCTTCATTCCAGCCAATGAGAGCATGTTGTTCAGTTTATACATCCCAGACTGTACTGGTGTTGTATACAACAGGGCATCATTAAACTGAAAGTAGAAACATTTCATAGGACAATGGAAAGAAACAAATTTCAGCTACAAAGGTATTGATAAGACACAGGAATAAAGGAAAAATATTACCTCTCTGTTTAAAACACTCTGAATAAAATACTTACATTATGCTTATAAAACCAGAACCACCTAGAATGCTTTATTAGAGTATTACTAAAAAGTAATTTCTAGAAAATGGTGCTTTCTGTCCAAATTCTGTAACAGATCCAATGTTTTGTGAATTCTAAATCCCACTAAGGTATTACAATATGCTGAAACAAGTAATGGATGGAATAAATTTTTCCAAATTAGAGGTGAAATAAACTAAATTTAAAAAGGAAGTAAATTTCTGGTTATCCATCGTAAGACTTTGTTTCCTATACTTGAAATGCAAATAAGCAATACATCCACTCAGAGACCCCCAATATAACTGCTATTTGAATGTGCTAAGCTTACCTGTCATGAACAAACATCTCCTTTCATTAAACAATTATTCCTGCCTTGGACTCAACAGAAACACACGTGGCCACTTACCAGGAAAAACATCCGGGGCTGCATGACTTTCCGAGATAGTTTCATCAGAGTTCCCTCTTTGAGAAAAACCTGATTCATCCAAAAGAACACATTTAGTACTACCGTCATAATACAACTACAATATATATATAATTTCCTTTTCAACCTCCTTTTCCCAGAATTTATTTTTGTAGGGGATGGGTGGACATAGTTTCCTTGTGACTTTTTAGTGTCATAGTTTCTTTTTAAGCCCTTTAAGTCACTTAGGAATTGGATAAGCCAGCCAAGTTTCATAAATCCAGTACTGAGCCCAGGGGTACCATGTGGTCTGAGATGTAACTGACCGAGTGTGCACTTGATCCTGAGGCACAGCCAACATCCTGACAACTGCAGTTTGTAATTTTCCTGGATTCATCCCCTTGGCCACTTTTGTGCTCTGTGAGGAGCATCAAAATACCAATTTTCTCCCTCCCCTTATAATCCTCTTTTACATTAAAGATTTTAAATGAAACTGTCTTTAAAGCTGTGTGAGGTCAGCTAGTATTACACAATAAAATGATCCTATTTAATCAGATACTCTGTGGGGTCCCTTGCCATTCTCCTAATTGAATTGGACTTCTTTTCATAGTGACTTAAATCATGAATGTTTTGAAAGGATAGAATGAACTGAGTTGATCCAGATTGGGTCACTGAAGAGTAACAATAACAAATAACCTATTTTCATAACTGAAATGGAAATAGCTACAAACAGTGCCTAAATCCACTGTGTTAAGTTTGCAAAAGGCACTCCAAAGCACTTACCCGTCCAGGCTGAACTATTTCATGGTGTCCATTTAAGCTGTACTGAATTTGCATAAGTTTCTGAAAGTTGTCCTACAGAAAGAGAATGTAGAGCATGTGAAGGCACAGGCTCCCGGGCTCAACAGTACAGCAGCCACTGAAATGAATGTACTTACTCCTTGCTTCATGGTGTCATTGGCGTGGTTGGCTACCTCTATAACCACAGCAAGGGCATCTAAAATATGTAGGGACAGAAGGGGCATTTGGTCATCATCATTACCAATGAATTGCAACACTGAGCAACTCCAGACAATAAGATAGCTATCTTGTCACCAACCACCAACCACTGGAGGAGCTCAGTTAACTGCAAGTAGGCAGAAATAGAGACGATAAGGTTGGTTTAAGGAGAGCAAAAGCAAGGTAAAAACAGTACTTATGAAAAATATGAGCTTGGAAGACACTAAAGAGACATTATGGACCATGAGTATCAACAGTATGGGTTGTGTATCAATGATAGGGTTGTTTTCTGCTGAGATTTGATTGTTCTGTTGAAGTTTACAAGGATAAGGATAGGATTTTACCTGGAAGCTAAGGACCATTCCAGGATAAACTGCCTTGGGAGAGAAGGATTCTGGGATAGGAAACCAGAATTCTGAGAAGCAACTATTTAAGAGGATCAGGGCTCAGCTGCTTTTTCTTAGTCTGGTCCGAAAAAGGAAGAAATGCCACATGGAAGCCTACTGGACCTTAGGAAATTATATTACATTATTTTGTGAGCTAGGTTATTTAGCTTCAGCTGTGTTTTATTCTTTTTATTAACCCCTTGCCTTTATTAAATGTTTCTGAATGTTTCAGTCTTATTATCTGTGTGAGTAGATATAAACGAAAAAGTCTATACTTTGTCTCCTTTTGGGCAACAGTTGTTCTCAATCTAAGACAGTAGTGTTCCCCTTGGGACATCGGGACACGTGTAAGGCAACTTTTGGTTGTCACAAACTGGGAAGGTCCACTGGCCTTTAGTGGGTAGGAGCCAGGGATGTTAAAAATCCTGCAATACTAATGAGAAATCCACAAAAAGGTTACTCTATATAATATGACAGTAGCACTTCCAGGGAGAAAAACTGGTAGAGTGTTTAAGAGGGAAGCATGGCCTCCTGAGGCTGGTGGGGCAGTGAGAATAATCGTCAATGAAAGGACTATTTTTTTTAAAGAGATCAATTTCTGGAAAGGGTGTGAGGTTTTTTGGTCCAGCTACTGTAACTGACCAAAGGATACTCTTTCTAGTACCACCCCTGGAGGTTCTTATGTTCCTTAAGTGTATTCTTATCACCATTATTAAAGGAAAGCAGTATTTCCTTTAGAGACCCTGACCACATATCAGAATTTATTGCATCTGGCACCTGTCATGGCAGATATGCAAGAGGTGACCCTGGACACATTCACCACTTTCTGGCTTGCTTGAATTCCCAGTGGACAGGAACAAAAGTTTAAAATTTAATGAATGGATGAAATAATAAAGCTGCTGCTATTTGGTCACCTGGCCACCAAGCTCTGACTTCTTTCATCCATTCTGCAATTCTACTTTACCCATGTCATCTCTTTAAAAGGCCCTGGTGACTGTTCCATTCACTCTTCTGCTTACCTTCAAAGGTATATTGGTCTCATTTTTCCTTGCCCTTGGGCAATCTCATCTACAACCAATCATCTCTTTACTGCATTGCCTCTGGCCACAAAGTATACCTCACTGTTCACTGTTTATTCTAAGCCATGTCTTTGCTGAAGTATGTAATTTTCTTTAAACAAGCTCCTTAACCTCTGGCCCTGTATTTGTCTTATCAGTAAAATGTAGTTAATAACTCGCTATGCTTGAAGGCAGAAGCCCTGGGACGTATGTTTCCTTGAGGCCTTATTTGTTAAGATCTGTCTAAAATGTTTATCTCCGTGAGACAGACTCTGATCTGGAATGTCCACTCTTCCTCTCATCCACCATCTCCAGTCGGCTCCTGTCTGGCCCTACTTCTCTCAAAGCGAAGCTCTGCCTCTTTGAACTTCATGCTTTTCTCCCTCTCCCAAATGATTCTATACTGCTCAGTGCATCCTTACTTAAAAGTTGTCTTCTTTGTTCTTTATCTGATGATGAGTATTACAGACTTTCTTCTTCAACTAAACTATATGTTCACCAAAGACAAGAAGTATGTCATACCCACCACTTCAAACTTTTCCTTTAAAAAGCATATTAAAAAGTGTAACATTTGCAAAGAGAAGATAGAGAAGAAGTAAAATGATTAATAGAATGAGTAAGAATCTCTTATAAAATGGGTTAAGAGCCTTTCAGCTTTGTAATTTGAAAATGTAAAGGATGCACAAGAATGTGGTCAAAATTCGTAAAATCAATGGGGTAGAGATGGACTTGCCTAAGGTGTTTCTAGATTAGAACCAGGGATATACCTATGACATTTGGAAGAGGTAGTTTGGGGATAAATAGAAAGAAACACCACTATCCTGAACAGAATTCATCCTTATGTGTGTGTATGTGTATGTGTGAGAGAGGGAAAGACAGACAGACAGACATACACACACACAGACACAGGATTATCCTGTGACTATCAACAGGTCCTTTGCGTTGTAATGTACGACTTCCTTAAGGACTACTGGGGGTGAGGGGGTGAAAGTATGATAAGGCTAATGCTGATCATTAAACAGTCCCAGCACAACAGGCTATTTCAGACCTTCTCCCTAATTTGTGTAGTTTGGTCACTTCACGGACTCATGATTTTAAAGCCTAAAAGGACCTTGCAGATCAACTGTTTCAGTACCTACTTTTGAAAGCAGTGGACATCTAGAGAAGGTGAATTTACCCCGGTACAGAGAGACAGAGCACAGGAGGATGAAGCTTCCTGACTACAGACTATGCCGGGACCACCCTTTCAGGAGGCTGGCTCCCATGGCTGCCTGGCCACGGGCATCTTTTTGTCCCTATAATTTCACCTCCATCCAGCACCACTCTACCACTTTACTTAGTTCTATTTTAATTTGCCCAAAATAGAGTTTTTAAAAAGACTTGTTACAAATAAAATACAGTTTTGTATATGGGTTCCGTTACATTTTTACTATCTAGGGCCAAATAAATATAATACAAAAACTTCTGTAACACATAAGATCACAAAGGTTATTTACCTTGAGTGTCTCTGTAATCTCCAGAGTCTTCTAAGAGATTTTTCAAATAATCTAGAAAAGGAAAAAAATCATAGTATTTAGTACAATAAATTACTAAGGAAAAAAACATTTGTCTTTCTTATTCAGTACTCCAGTCAGTCTTATTGGTTAATACACACTTGTTCGATTTGTGTTAATGTTCTAAAAATGTGAAAGAATTAAGCCCAGGGATCAACTTGAACAAATCAGGACACAGAATCAGAGCTTTAGAGGTTGCACTCGTGATTTTAGAGATGAGGAATCAGGCTACACGGTATTACCCAAGTAATATAATCTCTCTGTGTCACAGTCAGGACTAGAATCCAGGTCTTCTGATGCCAAGTTCAGCTCTTTTACTCTAACACACATGAAATACCTTAATCTCAAGGTTAGATGTATTGTCTAGTACCAAATTTCAAGCATTAATAGATTAGATGCCTAATGAACTCTTAGATTTGTCTATCTTAAGAGGCTAATAATGCCTAGAACACCAGAAAAATGCAATACATGTATCTAGACCATTGGTTCTCAAATGCGGATAAATTTGCCCTCCTGGAGACATTTCTGATTGTCACAACTGGGGGAAAGGGGGTGCTACTGGCATCTAGTGGTTAGTGGCCAGGGATGCTGCTAGATTTCCTACAAATGCACAGGACAGTCCTACAACAAAGAATTATCAATTATCTGACCAAAATGTCAATAGGGCCACATAGAGAAACCCTGGTCTAAATGAAGATGGTCTGTAAATGAACAACATGGTATATAGGAGTTTTTACAATTTTTTTTAAAAAAGGCAATAGGCTGTATTAAATAAATCTTTAATACAAAGATATGTCACAGGATTTCAAGGTAGTATTTCCTTCTCTGTGGAGACATGTGGGATGGCTTGCCATTAACTATCAAATTAAAACAAATTTCATTCCCTGGAATTTAAAGTTCCCACTACAAGTCCCCATTGACTTTTCTGATTTTCTCTCTCGCTACTGTCTAACACAAGCCCTTTATTCTTACCAAAGCTTGATTCTGCACAATTCCTTAAACACTTTCCATGTTTTTCCTGGCTCCATATTTTTTGTCTCTAATGCTCCCTTCTTCTGAATCCTTTCTCTGTCTCTGCATATAAAAATTCTATTCATAATTCTTCAGAACTCAACTCAAATTCCTCCTCTCCTACCAAACTTTCCATTTGAAAGAAATAGTCTTTCCCTTTGAACAATACCTCACTCAGCAGTTAACTCACTTCACACTTCTGATCATTTTCTTTTTCCTTAGACTAAAAGCTCCTTGTGGGCAGGACCCACATCTGATCCATCTTTCTTTCTCTCCTAGCACTTAGCCATGGCCTTTGCATACAGGGGACAAGAAATGCTTAATGGATTAAAGGAAAAAAAATTGTTTTTCAGACAGGATTATGTCCTAGTTTAAGTAAAAGGCAAAAAAAGCTGAAACCAATCCTAATGCAGTAGGAGTTGAGAAAATACAAAGAGGAAAGGCATACGAAAAGACTGAATGCATTTTAAATCACATCTAATCTCAACTGAGCAACATTATTGAACAGATATAATTTTATCCCACAGATTCATGAAGCTATGCTCAAAGGCACAAAGGGAAACCTGGATGTTAATGTCAGCTTTTCTAACTTCATAGTAAACACACACACTCAACTGCTGAAACTGTACATCTTTGAGACAGTGATTCAAGAACCTGTGAGAGTCTAGACATGCACATTATAAATATCCAGCCCTGGCAATAAGCCACAGTGAGATGTTGTGTATGACGAAATTAAGCTTCTATGCACTAGAGCATAGGTTCTATCCTGCCAGAGACTATCACAAGCAATTTAGATCTGAAAGCAAACTGAACACACAAGTTGGAGAGCATTCTTCCAGTCAAATAAATAAGAAAACCACAAAAATTAACAAAATACACTGATTATACACTATACTCAGCCTCATCTGGAGATGAAAAGTGAACTTAATCTAACTCTGACCCCATTCAGAATACATTCCACATATAAGCCATGTTTGGTGAATCCAAATGCTTAACTTTTCTGTGAAAGCAACAGGGTTTGGAGAAAAACTTATTCTTCTTAGATATTCTCAAGATCCAGGTTACCTCATTAATCAAAAGTGATGTTCCTTAAAGCCTGCGGTCAGCTGAAGAGTGTGGAAATGAAAGTAGGTTTATCTAAGTATCAGATTCATGGCAAGTTCCTATTTTGTCTTCAATTCTTGTTCTTTAAGACAGAAGCATATCCATGCAAACTGGGACATTTCTCTAAACCAAAGAGTTCACAGGAAGATGTCCTTATTAGGAAATCCTGACCTCAGAATTACTGTGCTGAGCCCCATAAACTTGAATCTCATTTTCTTACCTTGTACTCGAGTTCAGCTGCTGCCTGCCAAACTGAACTTTCAAGAATAAAGTAGAAATACACAAACCGGCTGAGCAGAAAAGCCACCATTAAGATGTTGCAAAATCATGCTACTAATCAAGGAGATAGGTTTACTTTCTTGCCAATTAAAAAAAAAATCTTAAAATTCAATTTTCAAAGTTCAGCTTGCTAAAACTAAATTTTAGAATTCAACTTTCCAGTGTATCTATCCATCCATATTTCCAGGGCGTCTTGTAGTACATCCTGCTTTTGAGGACTTTTACCTTTTCTAGGAAGACAAGCCCATGAGTTAAGAATCACTGCTGTAATTACAGAGTAAGAAGAACATGACTGATCACCCTCTGAGTCAGGTGGGAGGAGCAATGAAATCACCAGCTGTTCCAGTGACTGTCATAACCCAGGTGAAACCCAGGAAAGGAGACCAGACAGACACTCCTGTGTTAGTCAAAAGGAATTTACTATATACCATTTACGTCCTTAGTATCCTGTACGAGCCTCATTAAAAAAAAAAGAGACGCAGGACTCATTTCAATTCACCATGTTATACTTACAGTATTCTAGACTATCTTCTCAATTCCAAGGCTTTACTGTTTCCGCCAAGCCAAACTAGGCATTTTTCAAAACTTCACTAATAAAAACACCTCAAACACTACTGAGGTTATTTGTATCAAATCAAAAAAGGTTGGTGCAGCATGCATGGCTACCACAAAATGTATTTTCTGGCCACCAGGTGGCATCATCGATCAATGGAAGCTAATTAACCCCACAGTCACCATCACCCAACATTAGTAGCACAAAACTAGCCGAAACAGCACATGCAGCCTCAAGCGCTATGCAAGTTAACTTTGTCCTCATAATATGAGGCTCAGAGTGAAAGAATGAGAGCTCAATAAATACTATATCTTGTTAGAGGTATAAGTTTTCTATATATAGACTCCTAGTAAGCCTTACCATCCCTTGATTACCTAATCAACAAATAATCAAAGCAGAAAAACTATTCAGAGGTATAGTAACTATTTGCTAAAACTGAGTCATCTGTTGGAATCGGGGACTTTCTAATTCAACAACATCTAGTCAAGTTGCTGGACTGTGTGCTGAGAAACGGTTGCCGGCAGAGTACAGAGGAAATGAGCATATAGGACACTATAGGACACATAACATTCCAAAGTCAAGTGTTTTGAATTTGAGGATGTCTTGCTTTGTATTATCCAGATTTCTTCTCTCCTCCCTAAATATGTAATGAGATCAGCAACAAATACAAAATGATGATGTCTAGATAATAATAAGTCTAGTCAATAAACGCGTCTTTGCCAAAGTTTCAAATATTAAAAGAAGCAGCCTAAAATCCTCTTGAATTGGGAAACAGAGTAGAGATTATTTTAGATACCAAAATAGAGATCAAGCATTAAGTTGTAAGACACACTGCTGCCATGTTCAAGGTGGCTTGGTGAAGAGCTCCTGAGCCCTCCCTGTTGGGAGTGAGAGGAGAGCCAGTCACGTCCAGGAAAACCTGTAATAATGCTCATTCTAAAGTATCATGAAGCATATAGTTTTTAAATTCTAAAATGCATTACAGGAAATTTGGAAAATTATATCATGGAGAAAACTCAAACCATGAACATTTCTCTAAAAAAATTATTATGATTTTAAAGCATTTCCTTCTGTTTTTATAAATGCTTGGCTTTACTTAATTTTAATAATATGTAAGATTTTACAGCCCATTTAAAGTATTCTAACTCATACTTTTTTTTAATACATAGGAGTAGCTGATCTCATCACAGGAATATATCGTACAGTACTTAGTTATTCTATTATTAGACTTAAATGATTTTTAAATTATCTTGTTTTGGCTGTTATAAATTGGATGGCCATACATCCTAATTTGCTCATAATGATTCTACCATATACCTGCTGTCCAGATATTACTATAAATACTGCCACTTGCTCTTTTTTTTTTTGGTGAGGGAGGTAATTAGGTTTATTTATTTATATATATTTTTTAAATGGAGGAACTGGGAATTGAACCCAAGACCTCATGCATGCTAAACATGCGCTCTGTCACTGAGTTACATCCACCCCTGCCTTGCACTCTTGAAAGGTAATGGGTTTGAATAACGAATTGTGTGACCATTTAAATTACAACACTGGTCAATATCTTGATATATTCACCTTTTTCCATAGTTCAGATTTTTGGGTGGGGGTGAAATGAAGAGGATTGAAAAGGTTTTTGTTTTTTTTTTAAGTAATTGACATATATCATGAGAAACCTTCCCTAAAAGGATATAACAATTTAAAAATATCATTATAAATACAAGTTTCACTAAATGATTGCCAGTTTCTATAGTTTTTTATTGCTAATGTAGTAGGGGGAACTGATAACTTGTTTTAACTGGTATTTATGATTCAGAGGATGTTAGACATGCCACTGTATTTGTTATGCATACTTTTTCTGAGTGTTTTTGTTCATATTTTTAGTCTAGACATCTTCATAAGTTTTAATATTCATAGTGAAATAGTATTTTTCATATTTTCTACAAATATATTTTCTGATGTACTCTTTATCCTTTTATTTCAACTATATTTTAAACCTTTATAATATTTTTATTAAATAGAATAGTTGAAAGGTGTCAATATTTTC